AACACAAGATGCCCTCTGGCTGCCCAGGTCACGCGGGGACGCACGGTGACCCCGACAGCGGCCGTGACCTTTTCTGAGAGAACGGGCCGCTCGTGCCAGCGTCGCGGTCCGAATTTTCTCAAATTTGAAAAATTGCTCAAATGGACGCTTCAAACTGGCACGGCAACATGGTCTCCCTGCCTGCTGTGAAACTAACCACAGACTATACCGGTCTGTGAAGCACAGGGTCCTTCGTGATGATCGCCTTGGCCAATCGGGATCGCACGATTACCGCACGCTCTCATCACTTAATTTGTCAGCGTAAGAGTGGGCCCCCCTTGAAAGGCGCGTCGACCCCATAATCGGTAAGGGGTCGAATCCCACATGTTGGAGGTCGGGGGCATCGACCGCGCAGCTACTGCGAAGTCTGACAGTGGGGGAGGGCAGCGGTGTTGACGGGGTGACCTTTTGACCTTGACCTTTTGCGGCGCCCGCTGACTCGGCGTGCGTTGCGGCGTCGTGTGGGTCCAGCGCTGGCAGGCACAGAGATGGGGCAACCGCATCAGGAAAAAACTGGTCATTTATTACCCCATTAGGGCCGGGCATGCCACGCATTACAAGCCATTAGCACGGTGGGGGGGGGGGGGTTGGCGGGGGAGGGGGGGGCCTGGTTGGACGGTGTCGCTATTCGGATTTCACTTTGTGAGAGGTTTGAAAGAGAAACACCGCGGGGATTAAGTAACAAGACACGGGCCGATGACATCATGCGCGGGTACTGCAGGTAGATCGTGACGTCGTAAGATCGTGAGAGGTTGGGGAGGCCTTCATCCAGCAGTGGAATGATCACTGCCGATGATGATGATGAGGATTGCTATGTCTGTCTAGAGGTGTCCTATAGTTTATACGGAATGCTCTTGCCCAGAAGATGTGGTAACCCGGCAGCATCTAATAGTAGGTTTTTACCCTTTAAACTGGTACAAAACTGACACCTTTATACAAGGCATCATGTTTGCAATAACCACAACACAAGTAGTCAAAATGCAAACAAAAATAAACAACTCTGATGATGATAATGATATGCACTGTCCTTGAAGTTGATTGGTCCACACCCGAGACAGCTTTCCTTAGAGCCTAGTCTCCATTGGTAAAAACCTACTATTATTTTTTGCTACTGGTAAAGGAGGTCTCATAGTGTAAATCCGGCAGCATTTGTTGAACAAGCCGAACGCTTTGCTCTTGAGACACGCAAGGTTGAAACTGTTACTGAGTTTGCTTGCTTACAATGCTTCATTCTTGGCGATGAGAGTAATGCCCATCATGGACTGCCAATAGGTAGGATGACGGAGTAAAAATACATTTTGTTTATTTATGAAGGGCTGCAGCACAGAGCGGAGTTTCCATGGATATAAGTAAACAATTGTGCCGGCAATCACCGCACGTCCGCCGTCCAATGTCCCAGCCGGAGTCGCTGAGCCCTACAGATTCTGTGTGGGGGGAGGGTGGGCCACGTAGCCCAAACTCATGGCGCGACGGATAATCAACGGAGGCCGTAAAACCCAAGTCTGCTTTTTACGTTCGTAAAGACGAGATAAAAGACAAAAGTTGCGTCGTCTGCAATTGCTAGCTCCACGTCACCGCTGGAGAGCAATCGGGAATTCTGGGCGTGGGCAAGACGTCCGTCGGTGGAATTTGAAAAACAACCTTTTCTTACAGACAGCTCCAACTCGTTATTTATTTATTCGAGGTTATTTTTCGACACAAAGTGCCCTTTGGATTTGCCGGACACTATTCCTGTGCTTACCACGTGCCAAGTCAGCTTCCCGCCCCCGTACCCTTCCACCCCTCCCCCGTGGTGCGCACGACACCACCGTGTCCATCGCGTGATGTCCGCGCCCGTGCCCTGTCCAGGGGGTAACTTTCTCGCTGGATGTTCTCCCCGGGTCGCTGTGTGTGCTGGGGGTAGGTGGCACGTGGCAAGGAGAGGCCACAGCCGATCCGGATACAACCTGGCTGAAATTAAGCCTCGAGTTAGGATTAGTATTAGGGTTTGAGGTTAATATTTGGCTTTAGAGTTTGGGGCTGTGCTCATAGTTGGCGTTCATGTTCGTATTGGGGTTAAAGCTTGGGGTTGGGGGTAGGGGTAGGCATTAGAATTATGGATTCAAGGTTTGGAGTTCAGATTTGTGGTTAGGGCTATGGCTGGCGTTCGTATTGGTGCTAGTTTAACTGTTGGGGTTGGTCGCTGAACTGGTGCGATCGTTCAAAGCTGTAGGACAGAGTTCACCGCGCTCGTAGTTTCTTGGCGAGCCCTTCGCCGTTGGTTCACTCAACCGCAGGGCAAACATTTGACACCGGGCAGTGACCGGCGACCGGGTTCTGAACACCCGGCAATCGATCGTTTATTTTCACCGCCGCGACGGTTCCTCCCGTGGCCGTGCCGCGTGGCCGTCCAACATCTTGGGGCCGCCGCGTGGTGTCCGACGTTTCGCTCCGCGCGCTGGGAGCTCCTTCAGGAAACTCAAAGAGTTTAGCACCTCAATTCGTTCCTAACCAATTGGCATTCCGATTCAAAAAGTGGTCATCAGAAAATGTTTGAAATGTGATTCCCATCTGACCTTTCCCCCACCCCTCCCTCCCCATGGTGTCAAGTTCAGTCTACAACTCTTATTATCCAGTCCATCTCTCTGGCCTTTCTATTTGTGCGATATGAGAAGGGCATTTGCCTCACTTGTTGCCTAATACATATATTTTTTATTTTGAAGCGCGCACACAGTTTTTTTTTTTTTACCAACGTGTCGAGTTGACTTTCGTTGTTTGTGCCTGTGCACCTGCCAAATAATTATCGGCGAACAATAATTTTTTTTACACAAAGTTTCTATAGGGTGAGGCACAAACCAGAATGAGGAACTCCTCCTCTCCTTCTGGTGCCGAAAGGGCAGCGCGTGACGGTGTTGGCACGTCCACCGACATCAGACTTTTTGGCGCGGGCGGAACAACGTAACGTCGCACCATCCCGATGGTGTTGCTATAGGGATGGGGCATGGGTGGTAGAGCGGTAGTGCAAGGGCGCTATGAGGGCGGCACGAACGATCGCACGAAGCTGTTAGATTGGCCGCACGTACGGCTATCCACGCGCGTTCAGCGGCAGACGATAACGTTGTCCAGACCCCCCCCCCACCCCCTCCTCGATGGGAGGAGTGCGATAGAACGATGACCCTAGTGGGAGGGGAGCTGAGCTGCCAAGCCCTGTGAAAGCTGTCCTCACCGCCTCCCTAGAGAGGGGGTGGCTCTTTCTCTCCGGTTTCACTCCGGGTTGAGTCTGGTTTCACTCCCGCGCGATTAGTCGCGTTCCACAACAGGAGATGAACTCGGTGCCGGGGCTAGCCAGCGGCCTGCGGGTGGCACCGTGGAGCGAAACGTCGTACTTCGTATCGAACGACATAAGCAGCACAACCGCGAAGCATGTCGGGAGAGAGCCACGCCACGCAGCGCGACCGCCGAATCCCGCGGCGGCAGCAACAGCGGCCAGAGTAGCGACACACTGCCGTTGGCACGCTCGTGTTTCTCCCGTCTCACGCCGCTATTCCTGGCCGGGGCGCGGATCGCGAGGTCACGGCAGACGTGGAGGGCAGTCCGTGGTTAGACCCGGCCTCGCTGTTAGGAGTTGCAAGGCGGGCCAAGAGCTCCCACTCCTCATCGTTCTGATCGCACCCGCGGCCAGTGCGGTACAATGAAATGGGGCTTTGATTACCCGCTCGCTCAGTATTTTCCGAAAGGCCGTTCGGCCGTTTTGGAGGCAAGGTTCTATCTATAACAATTATAATAATCGGTGTTATTGTACACCACCCCGTATTGCTATATTCCTATAACTGTGCTTAATTTACTGCGACAATAATAAAAAGAATAACGCCAAATTAATTCCCCAATTGTTCTAAATTGATCCCAGGGATATTATTTGGGTTTTATATATGCATGTGCTGCACAGTCCCGCAGCCACCACCACCACCACCACAATGGGGGCCCAGGAATGCATTGCGAAGTGACTTTTACAAATCTCCCCACAATGGAATGTGCCAGCGGCATTCAATGATTTCACTTTTAATATCACATTGGTTTACTTAGTAGCAATACCTTGTGATTATTGAATGGGGTTTGTCTGCTACCTCAGCAGCTACTGCAAATGTAACTATTCGCATGCCAGCTCAAAAGCTGGTAAACAGGTGCAGACTCCAGTGCCTGATTATCCACTCTACCATCTCGGCCTCTCTATTTACGTGCTCCTGAAGAAGGGCCATTGCTCGAAACGTCGCCGATTTCATTTTTATATTCCTTTCGAGGCTAACCCTCCCTCCCCCCCCGCAGTGTTAGCGACGATTGCATTTTCTGCGGGCGGTGCGCGTGCGTCGGTGCCAACGCAGCGGCGGTAGCGTCGTCAGCGTCGTCGTCCTCGCGACGTGGCGGAGGCCGTCATCCGGCAGCGGATTGGCGGCGGGGCTGCGCATGGTGGCGCGTTGTGACGGGCACGCCGTGCCGGGAGAGGGGGGAGGGGTTTGATGAATGGGAGATGTGCGCAGTGGGGGTGAATGGACGAACATTGTTCGGAGGGGGGCGGATGGAGGGAATGGGGTTGGGGGGTGGGAAGTAAGTAGGGAGGGAAGGGATCCATTTATGAGTCGGGGGTGGGGGGGAGGGGATGTTTAGTACAGGAGGTTCTGTCCCAAGGTGAACGGAGACAATTGTATCGATGTGCGGAGCACGTGCGGGGAGGGGTGGACAGTGGTGCGTGGGTGGCACTATCGCAGTGCTGCTATAGGGGGATGGTGCATGGGTGGCAGACCGGTAGTGTAAAACATCGCCGCTGGGGAGACAGACGGCGGCCGGGCATGGTGCTGGCCACCCATCCCCACCGCGTGCCCGTGCCGGTCTCCGTAGGCGCTGCTGCTCGCTCAACAGCAATTGTCCCCCGACATCCTGCTCGAGGCTATACAGGGAACCTGCGCCTCTTGTCGTTTGCTCAGCAGTGTGGGCAGCTGCGGGGTGACGAGGAGGGGAGGACCCAGGGAGGAGCAGGAGGAAGAGGAGAACAAGGCGGAGGAGGAGGAGGCAGAGGAGGAAGCGATGGGCATGAGGGCGACCGGCGGCGGTTGTGGCCGGGCGGTGGGTGCGGCCCGCCCCCCCGACGGCGGTTGGGGCTGGGCGGTGGCGGCCGCCTTCTTCGTGGTGGAGGCGCTGTCGTACGGCACCATCAAGGCGTTCGCCGTCTTCTTCAACGACCTGCTCGCCGAGTTCAACGCGACGCCGAGCGCCGTTTCCTGGGTCATGTCCATCTGCGTCTTCACCATGACCTTCACCGGTGAGGGCCGGGGTTGAGCCTCTCGGATGGGTTCCATCAGCGGCAGCGGCAGCGTTATCAATCATCATCATCGCCATCATCATCATCACGATCATCATCATCATCATCGCGATCATCATCATCGCGATCATCATCATCACGATCATCATCGCGATCATCATCATCATCGCGATCATCATCGCGATCATCATCATCATCATCGCGATCATCATCATCATCATCGCGATCATCATCATCATCATCGTCATCGCGATCATCATCATCATCGCGATCATCATCGCGATCATCATCATCATCGCGATCATCATCGCGATCATCATCATCATCATCGCGATCATCATCATCATCATCTTGATCATCATCATCATCATCGCGATCATCATCATCATCATCATCATCGCGATCATCATCATCATCATCATCATCGCTATCATCATCATCGCGATCATCATCATCATCGCGATCATCATCGCTATCATCATCATCATCGCGATCATCATCATCGCGATCATCATCGCTATCATCATCATCATCATCGCGATCATCATCATCATCATCGCGATCATCATCATCATCATCGCGATCATCATCATCATCATCGCGATCATCATCATCATCGCGATCATCATCATCGCGATCATCATCATCATCATCGCGATCATCATCATCACGATCATCATCACGATCATCATCATCATCAGTGGCGATATCATCATCATCTGCAGCAGAAACGGCCGTGTCGTCTTTCGGCAGCATCAGCTGAATCAGCATCGGCGTAATACGCAGCAGCAGTATCAACATCATCATCATCATCTTTAGAAATGCTTTTTTGTGTTAAGTTTGCTGTCCTTCGCCGGCACCTCTGACGAGCACGATTGGCTACGTGCGAAAGAAGTTCAATATAAAGCAGCATCCAGAACTGACCAGTTAAACAGCCCCCATGTCTGGCGTGGGGGGGGGGGGGAGGCCTTCAACTGGCAACAGGAGATTGACCACGAGCGCTGTACATTGAATTGTTTTGAGTTGTCAAACGTGATTTGCTCATCAAATGAGCATTGAGGCAGTGCTCTGTTCCTAATTACAGCCCTGAACCAGTGGTGGAAATTCCACATTCCTATGGCGGGGGGGGGGGGGGGGGGGGTGATGGCATGCTAGCGGCACCGCGTTGACCACGCGATGTGCTTGTATGTACGTGCGCGTGTGTGCGTGCGCGTATGCGTGTTTGGAGAGCGGTAGTGTAGCGGTTCGCGTGCTGCATTACGAAGTCGGCGGCCCGAGTTCAATTCCAACACAAGTGACGATGATCTGAATCGGTTCTGGGCCTCTCTTAGGTCCACTCGGCCTCAAATGATCACCTGGCACAATGTGTAGACGTCGCTACTAGGGAGACAAAGGTGGCCAGGCGTGGTGCTGGCCAACCCACCCCCCTCGTGTGCCGTGCCGGGCCTTCATAGGCGCTCGCTAACAGCACTTGCCCCAAAAGTTCATCTTTGTCTGTGTGTGCCGCCAGGCCCCGTGTCGACGGTGCTGAGCAACCGCTTCGGCAGCCGCCCCGTGGTGATGCTGGGCGGGCTGCTGTCGTGCGCGGGCTTCGTGGGCGCCTCGTTTGCCCGCTCCATCACGGACATGTACATCTCCATCGGCCTCGTGAGCGGTGAGGACGACGTGCCCCCCTACACCGCCCTCACACATCCCCCCCCCCCACACCCCTAATGAGTGAGTATTTACGTGCGGAAGGAAAGCGGAGCAGAGAGGCCGCTATAATTCACGGCAAGAATTGCAAAAACAAAAACATTGATTCTTGAAAATCAACTCGCGAACATTCGATCGTGACGACCCAGAACACGCCGTTACCAACTTGCACGACCAACGCCGTTGCCGTGACCCTCGCCGCTCTCCCTTGCCCCCCCATTAATCGAGTGTCTATGTGTTGCCCCCCCTCCCCCCCGCGGCGGGGCGCACGCCTGTCTCCCGCGTGTGCCGGCTGCCCCTTTTAGCCTAACCGTGCGTTGCTCCGCCCAGGGCTGGGCTTCTGCCTCAGCTTCGTGCCGACCGTCACCGCCCTGTCGCTCTACTTTGAGCGCCGGCGCGCCCTCGTCATGGCCGTCGCCTCCACGGGCGAGTGCTTCGCCATGTTCGCCTTCGCGCCAGGTGTGTGGTTGTTCGAACCGGTCTCGGGCCTCCCCTAGGTGGACCCGGCCTCGAATGAATACCTGGTGTGCCCGTCCCGGCCTTCGTAGGTGCTTCGCTAAAAGCACTTGCGCCTACAGTCTTTACAGTAATTTTGTTTCTTGCTTTGGTTGTCCCACCTGATGATGGAAGCTTCCGAAACGTCGTGATTTAATTTAGTTATTTCTATTTTTTTATTTTCACATACATGACTTTACCGAAAGAACCAAAGAGTATTGAGCCTTGCAGTCACGAAAACTTCAAATCTAGAATGCCCACAGTCTTGTTCAGGCTATACAGGGGATCTTTGTCTTTGATCTTTGCCTTCTAACGGCGGCGATGGGGCCCGGTCCGCCACCAACACCGCTAGTGCCCCCCCCCCCCCCCCCCCCCCGACCCGTGTCTGGCTAGAGGTACGCGTGTACACATACAGCCACCTTTTGTCAATGCACTGCTGGATGATGAGGGCCGTAGATTCATCACACCCGGAACATGGCGTCCGGTGCAAGGTTAAAGCACTCCTATCGTGTTTTTGTATTGTTTGCTGTTGTAACTTACTGACCCGCCCATAATGGACACGTGTGATAAAGAGCTTCGCAGCTCATCGGATTCATCCGGTCTAAATAACAGATTCCGATTTAAAATAAAAGATTTTGTGAGCTGTGCGAATTCGCACCGTCGATCATGGCTGTCAAGGCCCCAGCGCTACCTCTCACGTGGCACTGATCTGTCCGCAACCCGCACGCCCCGCCGATGGCGCACTCCCACCGCCGTAGGTCGCCCGCTTCCCCGACCGCGGCAGCGTCGTCGCCGCTCTCGGCTCTCGCTCACGCGCGCTGGCACCATCTCGCCTTGTCCCCTAGGCTTCCACCTGCTCAAGGAGAGCATGGGCTGGCGCAACGCCATCCTCGTCATCGGCGCCATGCAGCTCAACATCACCGTGTGCGGCGCCCTGCTGCGCCCGCTCCCCGAGCGCTCCCAGCCGGAGCGGCGGCGGGAGGCGGCCGATGGCGGCGGCGTCGACGGAACCGACCTCTCGGCCGACGATGGCGAGAAGTCGTCGCTGGAGGCTCGCTACAAACTCGAGAACGAGCAGACCGTCAGGTCGGTCGACTCGGGCGACTCGGGCGACTCCGGCATCAATGTCGGTGGCGCCGTCCCGCCGACGGCGCGGGGGGAAAGTGACGATGGCCGGCCCGAGTCGCGGCAGAGCCGGAGCGGTTCGGAACTGGCGAAGCCTCCGGGCGGCACGGGCGAGCGAGCGAAGCTGCTGGACTTTGCGCTGCTGCGCGAGCCGCAGTTCGTGTGCTACGCGCTCTTCGGGCTCTTCGCGACGCTCGGCTTCTTCGCGCCGCAGATGTTCCTCGTGCCGCTGTGCGTCAGCCTGGGCCTGGCCGAGCAGCAGGCCGCCTACCTGCTCTCCACCATGGCCGTGGCGGAGGTCGGGGGCCGCGTAACGGCCGGCGCGCTGTTCGGCCGCCGCCCCCTGCCGGCGCTGCACCTGGAGCTGTGCTGCGTGTGCGGCCTGGCGCTGGTGCTGCTGGGCTTCCCACTGGTGAGCGACTTCTGGGGGCTGGCGGCGTGCAGCGCGCTGTTCGGCCTGGCGTTCGGCATGGTGGCGAGCACGCACATCCCGCTCCTGGCCGAGGACGACGTCGTCGGGGTCGCCCGCATGTCCTCCGGCGTGGGGATTTACTTCTTCACGCAGAGCTTCGCCGGGCTCACGGGCCCGCCCATCGCCGGTGAGTACCGCCAAACCTCGCTTGCTCCCCCCCCCCCTCCCGCCCTCTCTCGCGACGCTTGTGCGGGCGTACGGGGCGACCTGTCCGCGCGCGCCATGTCCATCCATCCATAGCCACCCGTCGCCTTCCTCGCCAGCCTCATCCGCTTGCACCTCCTCGACACGATGTCGATTTGCATCGTCTATAGACGCGGGACAGGAAGAGTGGACGTTCGGATTGTGTAGAGGCAGTCGTAGTGACCACTGTGATTCCGTCGCCACAGTCGAGCCCTCACCCCTCTCACTCGCACGTGAGTGGGCCCGCCCAATATCCCAGGTAGCTCCGCCCTCTATTCTGGTAGCCCCACCCACTGCCCGTATAAGGAGTTGAGCACAAGGCCAGAAAATGTTCAACCGGGAACAAAATCCGGGGCACTGACCTCCTGACCCTGTGCCCCCGCTCCCCCAGGCTGGCTGGTGGAGGCCACGCAGCGCAACTACGCGATGGCCTTCTACACCTCGGCGGGCGGCGTGGCGCTGGGTGCCGCTTTCCTGGCGCTGGTGCGGCCCTGCCGCTGGAGGAGGAGAAGGGGCCAGGCGCGGGCCGGCCCTGGCGAGGAGGAGCCTGGCACGTCCCCGGTCGTCGACATCCCGCTCTCCCGCAAGGCCTCCGAAGACGACGATGACGACGCGTTCTGGGAGATGGACTTGCCGGAGAGCGGCGCTCGTTCCGGCGCCGTGTGAGACGCGGTGGTCGCCGTCTCTCCGTCCCTGGTTTTTGTTCCGATAATTTGAAATTCGCTCTTGTTCTCACGTCGCCGCATGCCTGACGGACTCCGATAAATCACGAGTGCCGGTCTGCCTCGTTATCGACGTCGTCGTGGTCATCGTAGTCCGTCCCGACGGCGGTGCCTGCCTCGCGCCGCTACCAAACCACTCGGAATTCGCACTCGCTTGAAAACCGAGAATCCCCCGCGTCACTTGGGCCGTCGCGGCGCGCTGCTCTGGACATCATCGCGTGGTCCGGCCTCGAGGCGCCGGCATCCGCAAGCGTGTCTGGGCGTCGGCCAGGCCCCTGCGCCCTCCTGTGGCTGGGGGCGGCCTTCGTAACCCGCATTCTAGCGGAGGTCGCTGCTGTGCCAGACGTCGGCGCCGGCGGCCGGAGTGAGTTTCCCAGAAACTCGTGGATCCGAAGTCAAGTGGCCCCCCTGGTCCCACAACCGCTCTTACTTTCCCGTGGGCTCCCCAATCATTTAAATCCATTTAATAGTTTGGGTCACGTGATTGTTTATGGTCATCTGATCCCAGCTGTTCGTTGGGAGCGACTGCTCCTGATTTCACGGTTCCTTTGATATATCGCAGTAGTTTCATGAGTAATCAGATCCGATGGGTCCTTCGGCTCATTTTAGATCCTCATCGCGATGGAGGGTCATCTTATCCCATTGTGTCTCTTGATCCCATGGCTTCCCTGATACTACCCCAGACAGTCTGATGATATGGGTCTTCCCATCGTCGTTATGCTCATCTGCTCTGTAGGTGGGCCCCTGATCTCAATGGGTCCCTGCGATCCCACAGTACACGGGGTCGCGGGTATCCGGGTTCGTCCGTACGTGGGCGTTGCCCGTATGCGGGGGTCGCGGGTATGGGAGGTCGTGGGGTCGCCCGTACTTGGTCGCACGGTGGAATGTATCGTTTGGTATCACTTGAAATCTGCACTAAGACTGTGAGCGCCGTGGCATTGGCGTGCAGGCTCCGGCGGCATCGCCCCCGCGGAGTTCGCTTAAACCGATCAAACCCCCGTTACCGTGGAGATGGAGCCGTGTGGCCGATGGAGTTTTTTTTGTTCTCTCTCTCTCCAAACAAAGCGTTTGTCTCGTTTCTTTTTGAAGGTGGCGAGAGTGCGAGCGCCGCCTTGAGTGTGTCGTTTTTTTTCTTTCTGTTTGGTTCTGCGAGATATGACGACGTGCGTGTACACCTAGCCTGCCACGAGCACTGGTGATGTCGCCGATACTTGGCAGCTATTGGCACCTGCTGCTGTTGTGGGGAGGGTGAGGGGCGGGGGGGTGTGAAGTAAATTTGCATAGAGCAAACGTCGTGGCATTAAATCCCCCCCCCCCCTCCACCACATATCCCCGAAACATAAATTAGCATTTTCATCGCACTTCTAATTACCGGGGCGATGGGATTCGCCCATTTTTTTTGGTTTGTTCGGAGCAACTTTATACAACGTTTCAGTTGAGTGCACTGTTGTTACCACACGCGGTCGGAAACGACGTGTCATCATTTACATCGTCACGGCCGCGCGGGTTTGCTAGCTCGTTCGCTCTCTCTCGCATGCAGTGTCCGTCCGTTATAGCGCTCCTCTCTGAAAGTCCTGGACATCGCATGTCTTGAACAGGCGGAGTTCGCCTCCGTTTAAGGTACTTGTGTTGTATTTTGTTGAGTTTTTTTGGGCTCGGAGCTGCGAGCGTCTCTTAATAATGTAGCATGGAGCAACTAATTATCGCAGCGAGTGTCGGACTTAACGTCTTTGTGCAATCTCTCCGCGGCGTTTCCCCACCGCGCCGCTGCTGCTGCTGCTGCGGCCGCGTGCTGGAATGGTTTTGCCTGTAGCTGTCACGCGCCTCTGCCGCCGCTGTCTCCGTTACGTTTACACAGCGCTGCCTGACCTCATTCAACCGACCAGTTGTGACCCACTCGGCCTTCGGCCACGCTGCGCCTGTACCACAGCTCAACGCGCACAACGCCGAGATCCGGATGATCCGGCTCGGGGGCCCAGGGCTTCCACTGCAGCCGATTTTGTGTCTGGGTCGGCAAATATTTTCCGCACAAGGCACACTGCATCCTGCATACTTCCTCTCTGACTACTCGTCACGTGCCCACCTACACCCGCGACCCGGACAATACCGAGAGAGGGAGAAGTTGAGCCCTGGAGCACTGGACGTCATCTACCTCCTCACTGCAGGAGCCTCTCCGGAAGGGGAATTATTTGTGCCCATTTGTCTCTTAATGTAATGGGCGAGTGACTGTGCGTTTTGCTGTTTTCGTTTAACGCGCATTCGGAAGGTGTAACGAAGAGCGTCAATTAGATATTTTTGTTTAAATCCCTGCATTCAAACTCGCGTCTGACCCCCCCCTGACCTAACAGATTTTCCAGGACGGCCACAACAAGGCAGATTCTAGGACACCCAGGATCGGTGGCAACTCCCATAATCGCATCACGCGTTTCAGGAATGCTCTCTTTTTGAACAGAATTTATTTTTTTTGTAGCCACCAGATTTCTGGCAAGCAACGGTAATCGATTCGCTGATTTGAAATCGATTCGTGTGCTCTTGACGCCATCAATTCCTGTGTGTTAGAACCTGTTTTTAAGATTTATAAAAAAAAATTAACGATTTTGTTTTTTTACCGCTACGTATTCCGGCAATTCGCAACGAAATCGAGTCGCAAAATTCACTACGCCGGAATTTCCGCTTGTACTACAAGGCGGGGGGGGGGGGGGGGGGGAGAGAATCTCAAGCGGTTGAATCGAAACTGCGGCTTGATCGAATCGTGCAGTAAGGGGAGGCGGTGGAGGGCGGTCAATCCTAACATCCCCATCTGCCCCCTGAACCCCCCCCTCCCCTTTCAGGGGAACATTACACCAAATGAAGGCCCCAGTCCTGTCTCCCGAGTGAGATCGGACGTGGCTGAAGCGATTTCAATTCTGGGAGGCTCCCGAGCTCCGATATTCCCCCCCCCCCCACACCGCTCTTTCCCACTGGCACATCCGAGTCGTCCCAGGGCGGCGGGCCCCTCACGGTACTGGTCTGTGCCCCCCCCCCCCCCGCCCCCCACTAGATGTTTATTGAAGTTGAGCCGAAAACGAACTGTGTTGCTCCCATTGGCCTCAAAAGATACGACGCCGTAATGTGGCCCCCGGGGACCGAGAGGGGAAGTCGTACGGTGACTCGTTCACTGCGTGTGACGTCAGCGGCATAGCACGGCTCGGCTTCTACAGTGGAAAAAAAAAACCTTGGCACCTCCTTTGTAAGCGGCGCTGGGGCTGGCACGGCACAGCCCTGGCGCGGCTCGGTTGTGCAGTGGGGGGGGGGGGGGTGTGAACGCTGTATGTGCACTGTCTGATTTAATGTTTTGTGGTTGCACTATCGCGGCCACTGCTTACGTCTCGAGAACGCGCCAGGAGAAGGAGGGGGCGGACTGCTCTTTAAAGAGTGGGAAGCGGAGAGGGGCGGCGATGACCTCGTGACCTTCGTCTCGTGAGCTGTTCTCGCGAGTTGGCGTGAAGAGCCACCACCTTTTGACTAATTGGGGATACAACGTTTGTGGGGCTGGAGTTGAGTGGGGGGGGGGTGTCTATAGGAGCCAGTGGCTCCACGTGTATGTATGTCTGTTTAAAACTAAACATCATCATCTTGCATGTGCGGAGATGTTCATCGATTGTAAATTTGCCGTGCCGTATTTATTCTCGATGGCAGTCGATAGTGGCATTTGATCGTCATTATTATTGGCATCGTCAGTGGCGGCAATAATAATTGGGCAAAATTCATCGTGCAGTGCCACGCGTGCGCCCATGTTGAAATGCACGGTCTACTTTTAAATTATGCAATAAAATTCTCATCGATGAGGAGTCTTCATAATTGTTTTGCCGAGTTGTCTCGTTTGCTTCCCGCGCGGTTTCTCTTTAGTCGCAGGCTTTCTCAAACTCCCAGTGCGCCTTTTGGCGTCATCTGGTCCAACACCATGTGAGACTAGGCTCTAAGGAAAGCTGTCTCGGGTGTGGACCAATCAACTTCAAGGCCAGTGCATGCATTATCAGAGTTATGGTTTTTGTTTGCATTATGACTGCAGGTATTGTGGTCTGTGCAATCATGACTCTTCGTAAAAAAGGTGTCAGTTTTGTTGCCAGATAGAAGGGTAAAAAAACCAATGATCAAACTCCCAGTCATCGCGGCCCACCACCACCATCACCACTGCTCAGCATTTCCCCGTTTACCAATTTACCTCCCCATTCAAACCAACGCGCTTCACGCTGCGCGCGCCCGATGATAGTTAAATACTCCCGACGCGTTCTGCGTTACTGGAGCCAATTAAAGTTAAGATTGAGACGCGTGCGTGTGCGTGCGCGTGCACACGTGTTGCACGTGACTCACGGCGTTAATTGCTGAGCGCGTCACCTGGGCGCGTATAACAATCATCGGGCGCGTGCAGCGTGGAACGCGTTGATTGTATTATGAATGGGGAGTAAATTGGTCCACGCGGAATGATGGAGCGTCGCGGTCGCGATGACTGGACGCTGGTCGGGGGGGGGGGGGGTCAGACCCCTCCATCGCATCATCCCAACAGCCCAACGGCCATGCAGGTGAAACATTCCTGCGGAGGGAGCTGGTAGGAACGTTGGGTTGCTCGGTCAATGGCCAGGGTCAACGGCGGCGTGGTGTATTCCGCAAATATGCCCGACTGTGAGGGCGGGCACAAGCCGGCGTGAGTAGGTTAAACGTTGAGTTTTATAAGGGCACCACGGGGTGATCAGCCCCTCCCCACCCAGCCCCACCCCTCCCACCCCCCACCCAGCCCCTCCCCACCCCTCCCCACCCAGCTCCTCCCTTCACGACGGACGGACACAATAATCCCCTGTGGGCTGGTGTAACCAGGAGGTTCCTACCAGTATAATTAAGAGTCGATTGGTTGTGATTGGCAGGCAATATTAGTGTGAAAGGTAAATCTGTTTAGCCGTTGGTAGGGAACAATGTTCCTTAGTTATACGCAGGGGGTAAATGTGTGAGTACTAAAGCTGTGGTGTCATGGGGTCCCTGAGTGTTGCTAATACCCTTGAACCAAACGAGGCTCGCTAAACTAACAGAATGGCTTGCCCGGCTCGTGGGAGACGCTTATGCAAGTTGCTCTGACCTACTTATATGTGGCCAAGGGATGATGCATCCATCGCCACATCCTCTAAACTTTCGATGTATGCGTCACTCCCCTAAGTCCCAACACGTGGGCCTTTATCCCGAGTGAACTGGAAAAATGTGCCCAACGGAACATGCTCTGAAAGCACAGGATATGGGCGTGTGTGGGAGTGGAGCAGAGTGTAAGTGGGGAGCGGTCGTGTCGTGGGAAGCGCGATGCGCTACAAACCCTACCACCCGACTTCGAATCCCGCTCACGGCCAACGATTATTATCTGAACCAGTTCGGGGCCTGCCCTGGGTCGATTCAGGCTCGCCACTAGGGAGACAAAGGCGGCCGGGCGTGGTGCTGGCCTCCTACCCCCTCGTGTACCGTGCCTGCCTTCATAGGAGCTCGCAAACAGCACTTTCCCCAACAGTCTGTTAAGGATATACGGTGGATCACGGTTTTTGTATCACAGTGAGGGTGTATGCGATCTTCACAGGAGCTCGCAAACAGCACTTGTCCCAACAGTCTGTAAGACCCTATACGGAGGATATTTGTTTTGGTATATCACAGCTGATAAGAATAAAAACAAAATTGTATGTGGAGAGAGATATCGTGGCGGGGGAGGGGAGTATAACTGCTTGTTCAATCTGTCAGACAGGGCGAGTGAGTGAGTGTGTAACAGCTGTCACACACGAGACACCCAATACATTCGTCAATAACACCGTGTGGCCTTGAAAGAAAACATTATCGAAGTTTCGGGCAATGCCCCTTTATTATTGCACATAACGGGGTGGTGGGTTTGCATGACTACCAGCCAGTCGGCCCCATGTGTGTCGCACACCGAGTAATCTGAAATCGCATAAGTCTGAAGTCTACGTAAAATGTTCAACTTAATACTCTTAGTTCTTTCGGTAAAGTCACGTAGGTAAAAAATGAAATAAAAATTAATAAAAAATAAAATAATAAAAATCACGACGTTTTGGAGGCAACACAAGTCTCCGTCATCAGGTGGCACCGTCACAGCCAAATTTGCTGCATCAATTGAGGCAGGGATTCAAGATGCAAGCTCTGTTCAACTTAACATATTTATACATATGCGGAAAATAATACGCATCTCAATATATGTATAGATACACATGCATATACAGTATATGGAACGGATGGGTACATGTGCCGTTTGATGATGAATGTGGAACAAGCTTAAACATGCGCACAAATGACGCGTGTACCGTAACTGCACCGAGGAGCAAAACACGCGTGGCCCAGACATGACATGCAGAAGAGGGACAATGATATTCGCCTTTTAAAATGCGTGGGCCCGCTTACATTGAAGAGTTAAATAACCATCTGCGTCTGCCGAGCGATTTGATATACCGTATGCTCTGGATTATAATAAGACCCACTTTACATCACGCCCTGTATTTTATAAATCAAAAGTTTGATGGTGCGTCATGTAATTCGGTGTGCGTATGTGCACGCGTGATTAGAATGCGTCTTAACTCGACTGGCACTGGGCGCATGCTTTTATTTTATTTTCCCGCAGCGTCTTATAATCGGGAGAATGCGGTAAGAGAAGACGCACTACATTATTTTAAGCCCCGGTCCACAGGTAAGCGACCTCTGCTGTGAGAAATCGGTTGCGCAATTGCTGGCAACCGGCTTCGGAGAGGTGTACGCATGGAAGCGATTCACCGTTGCGTGCAATTCATCGTTGCGTGCAACTCGGATGTGGACCCGGGTGTAAATCCAGCGCAGCATAGGCAAAGGGCTTGGTGAATCGCCGCACAGATGTTGTGAAACAGGTGGACTTCTCACACAAATCCGGCTGTCGCCTGATGAAGCTCGTTGTTATTACTGGCGAAACGTCGTACTAAGATTGTAAATGTTGTGGCTTGACTCCCCAACACACCGGTGTGCTGTACTAGTGACGAATTGGCCACGTTCTGTTTACGTGACAACCCTTACTAGTTGTTCTGTGTCGCGTGGTGGCGGGTTTAACGACACATTTATATATTTATGCGATCTAACCCAAATAAACCTGTATTATGGAGCTTATACTCTGGCTCGCCAGGAGAGGGCGATACACCCAAAATGTGGAGCACAACAGATTCCATCTGTTGGGATCGACTCGAGCAGTTTCGATTTAAAGCTTTCGCGACTGCAGGGATTCATCTTCTTGGTTCTTTCGGTAAAGTCACGTAGAATGGAAATAATAAAATAATAGAAATAAAACATAATAAAACAATTCTCACGTTTCGACCACAACGCAAGCAGCCGTCCTCAGGTGGAGAGCAGGTCTGTCGAGTAGATAGAGTCTGAATGTTTATTATTTTATTATTTCCATTCTACGTGACTTTACCGAAAGAACCAAGAAGACTCGAGCAGTGTTCCTCATTCCTCGGCCTTCATGCCTCTGACGGGTCCTGGTGGCCTTGAGTGCGGCCCTCGACAATACACACCGAGTGACAACACCCCCATCATCACGGTTCTTCTGTCAAGCCCCAATGGTGTCAGATGTGTGGCGGCCCCCACACTGATGACTTATAGGCAAAAGTGCCCCACCCACCCACCTCTGAAAAGTAGCAAAGAAATGCGGCCGTAGAGGAATGGGGGATCGAGAGATGGAGCGGTGAGGTAGAAGATGAGACGGTGAGAGAGAGAGAGTGAGTGATTTGAGGGGCAAGGGGTTGAGGGAGAGTTGGCTCAGAGTGAGAGACGAGGTCAGCATCAGAATCTTTATTCATATACTGGAGGAATCCGATGAGCTGTAAAGTTCTTTTCCACCAATGTCCAGTAGGGGCTGGGTCAGCACGTTAGCACAACACACAATGCACACGACACGAGGGCAAAAGTTTTGTCAAGTTAAGCAAATCACTAACAATTTTTTTTACAAATATCACGATTTTTTTTTATCTTACCAGGTAAAGCCCACTGAGCTATTAGGATTATTTTTCAGCAAGCGACCACAGGGAAGTCTCGCAACATTAGTGCCATGAATACCAACTCTTTTTGCTTGATAAAAAAAACACGTTCCTTCGGAGTGGGCAGATCGGAACTTGGTTGAACAGCGCATTCGTGCACGACAGAAAGCTCGCGGTCACGTGACGCACTTCAACCAATCCGGGAGCGTACTACATGTTTGGGAAGTGCTATGCACGACAGACAAATAATCCCTGGTGGGCAGTGTGGAACTGTTGTTCCTTCCTGTAAAAAAAATTAGACTGTGCTTGTGCACCACTGCCAAAGGTAACAGCATCACAGAATACTGGACTGTAGTTACAGTACTGTGGTGCCACTCATACAGTACTGTAGTTAGAGTACAGTATGAGTGGCACCACAGTATGTTCAGAATCTTTATTTAGACTGCTGGAGGAATCTGATTAGCTAGGAAGCTTCTTTTCCACAAGAAGCGCAGACTACAGAGCGGTTCACGGGACATTACGTACTTTGTTGACAAAAATCCATTGTAATGTATATGCAAACATTAACCCCCCCCCCCTCTCTGACCTTCGCACCTGTTTGTATCACAAGTGACGACATCACATTCATCCCCCGACTATTTAAGACCGAAGCAGGATGATTTATCCACAAGTCTGTGGCTACAGATGTAGATGCCACTGGTTCTTCACCTTCTGCAGATGTAGATGCCACTGCTTTTTCACGTTCTGCAGATGTAGATGCCACTGCTTCTTCACATTCTGCAGATGTAGATGCCACTGCTTCTTCACGTTCTGCAGATGTAGATGCCACTGGTTCTTCACGTTCTGCAGATGCCACTGGTTCTTCACGTTCTGCAGATGTAGATGCCTCTGGTTCTTCACGTTCTGCAGATGTAGATGCCACTGCTTCTTCACGTTCTGCAGATGTAGATGTCACTGGTTCTTCACGTTCTGCAGATGTAGATGCCACTGCTTCTTCACCTTCTGCAGTTGTAGATGTCACTGGTTCTTCACGTTCTGCAGATGTAGATGCCACTGGTTCTTCACGTTCTGCAGATGTAGATGCTACTGGTTCTTCACGTTCTGCAGATGTAGATGCTACTGGTTCTTCACGTTCTGCAGATGTAGATGCCACTGGTTCTTCACGTTCTGCAGATGTAGATGCCACTGGTTCTTCACGTTATGCAGATGTAGAATGCCACTGGTTCTTCATGTTCTGTAGATGTAGATGCCACTGGTTCTTCATGTTCTATAGATGTAGATGCCACTGGTTCTTCATGTTCTGTAGATGTAGATGCCACTGGTTCTTCACGTTCTGCAGATGTAGATGCCACTGGTTCTTCACGTTCTGCAGATGTAGATGACACTGGTTCTTCACGTTCTGCAGATGTAGATGCTATGGTTCGTCACGTTCTGCAGATGGAGATGCCACTGGTTCTTCATATTCTACAGATGTAGATGCCACTGGTTCTTCACGTTCTGCAGATGTAGATGCCACTGCTTCTTCACGTTCTGCAGATGTAGATGCTACTGGTTCTTCACCTTCTGCAGATGTAGATGCCACTGCTTCTTCACGTTCTGCAGATGTAGATGCCACTGCTTCTTCACGTTCTGCAGATGCCACTAGTTCTTCACGTTCTGCAGATGTAGATGTCACTGGTTCTTCACTTTCTGCAGATGTAGATGCCACTGGTTCTTGACATTCTGCAGATGTAGATGCCACTGGTTCTTCACGTTCTGCAGATGTAGATGCCACTGCTTCTTCACGTTCTGCAGATGTAGATGTCACTGGTTCTTCACGTTCTGTAGATGTAGATACCACTGCTTCTTCACGTTCTGCAGACGCAAATGCCACCACCGCCATATATATTGCGCGGCGGTTGAACTTCACGAACAGCAGCAAACCGGACCACGCGGTATACCGGGAGCTGTGTTCGTATCTCTGAAAGTTCGTAAGTCGAGTGTCCGTAAGTCGAATGTTCGTAAGTCGGGGATCATGTGTTGTTGTTACGCCATCGCCGGAAGTGACGCCACGCGGGATGTGACGACGACGACGACCGTCGCAGTTTGAAAAAAAAAACTCGCAAACGAGAGAGAGGCAGGGAGAGAGGCGTGAGTAGCGACTGCTCGCGTGTTTTTTCCTTCCCCCTTCAACTTAATTCCCGGCCAATGGACCTTTGGCAGGGTGAAGACGAAGCCGCCGCGGCCTAGACGAGACGCGGGCCCCCCACCAACCCTCCCCAGGCAGCCCCCCTCGATTCTACCCCCAACTCACGGCGAGGACGTTTGCGTTGCAGACCACGGCGGGTGTTGAGTCTCGGGCAGGGGGTAAGAATCACAATCTATCGGCTGTTCGTGGCAGAGATGGCTGTGTGTGTGTGTGTGGACGTCCGTGGCGGGGCAGGGGTAGGGTGAAAAGAGCTTTACGGCTTATCGGATTTCCTCCAACATCAAGTAACGATTCTCGATTCCGCTTGGCGGCGAGCGAGCAAATGGTGTTCGATTTGTTTTTGGGGTCCACCAAGCTCCACTCCTCGAGTGACCCCCCACGCGAGGCGAGCTTTGGTGAAGTATGGCCAAGCGTGGCACCCCCCCCCCCAACAAGCCCGAAGGTGGACGCGGCGTGGCAGAGGCCTGCTGCATCGCAACAGTGGCGTTGGGCAAAAGGGGGTTTGTTCATTAGTTCTAGATTTGAAGCTTTCGTGACTGCAATGATTCATATTCTTAGGTTTTTCGGTAAAGTCACGTAGGTAAAACATCAAAATTAATGGAAATAAAATAAAATAATCGCGACGTTTCGGAGGCAACACAAGTCTCCGTCATCAGGTGGAACCGTCACAGCCGGATTAGCTGCATCAAGTGAGGCAATGATTCAAGATGTAATCCCTTAAAATGAATTGCCTACGAAACGTCGTGATTTTTAATCTTAATTTTAGAACTTTCGTGACTGCAGTAAATGATTATTTGGTTCTTTCGGTTAAGTCACGTCTAAAGATAAAATAATAAATTAAATTAAATAATAGCATACGACGTTTCGATTGCAACACAAGCAATCATCATCAGGTATAATGAAATAGCGACATAAAATCTAACCAGAAAACTATAGACAGACATATTAGCAGACAGATATCACCAAGATACATAGAGGGAGCAACACAGGAACCAGAGAGGGGTGATCATCTCTGTGGGGTGGCCTTAAATAGACAGAGGGGGGAGGAGGCAGAGAGAGGGAGGGGGTTAGAGAAAACATTTGCATATCAATGAGTGGTCCAAAAACAAGGTTCTGCAAGTGCGATGACACGACAAGCAAGTCTGAAAATCAGAAGGACAAACTAAAATTCAATAACCTAGCAAAATATCGAAATGTAATGTAATACAACACAGAGAGTCGGTCAACACACAATTAACGCATAGCCTGGTTGATTACGTATTTCAAAGATTGCTAAGTTAGAATTTAAGTGTGAACATTCCAAAGAGAAGACACAGACAGAGAGAAGAGAGAGAGAAAAAAGGATAAGCTCAAAACTTCCCCGTAGAAGTGGTTCAATCTTAATTTTAGAACTTTCGTGACTGCAGTAAATGATTATTTGGTTCTTTCGGTTAAGTCACGTCTAAAGATAAAATAATAAATTAAATTAAATAATAGCATACCTGATGATGATTGCTTGTGTTGCAATCGAAACGTCGTATGCTATTATTTAATTTAATTTATTATTTTATCTTTAGACGTGACTTAACCGAAAGAACCAAATAGTCGTGATTTTTATTTTATTTTCATTAATCTTGATGTTTTACCTACGTGACTTTACCGAAAAACCTAAGAATATTGTTCATTAGTGTTAATATAGTAGTAGATGTAGTACACACACACACCGTGCCTCCCATCTCTCCGTACCCCCCCCCATCACCCCGTACACCCCCCCCCCCATCTCTCACTCCGTACCCCCTCCCATCACCCTATACCCCCATCTCTCACCCCCCCCCCTTCACCCTGTACCCCCCCCCACCTATCTCTCTGATCCCGTACCCCCCCCCCCCCCATCATCCTGTACCCCCACTCATCTCTCCCCCCCCATCACCCCGTTCCCCCCACTCATCTCTCACAACCCATCACCATCTACCCTCCCCATCTCTTCCCCCTCCCCATCACCCTGTACTCCCCCCCATCTCTCCCCCCCCCCCATCACCCTGTACCCCTACTCATCTTTCCCCCCCCATCACCATCTACCCCCCCCATCTCTCATCCCCCCATCACCCCGTTACCCCCACTCATCTCTCACCCCCCCCATCACCCTCTACCCTCCCCATCTCCCCCCCCCATCACCCTGTACCCCCCACTCATCTCTCACCCCCTCATCACCCCGTTCCCTCCACTCATCTCTCACCCCCCCCCATAATCCCCCCCCCCCATCACCCTGTACCCCCCCATGTCTCAGTGACAGGCAGTGAAGGGCCGGGCTGGTCACTCTGGACACGTGGGGCCCAGGACATTGACAAGCTGCAGTTGTGGTGGAAGGAGCGAGCGACAGAGCGAGCGACCTCTCGTCCTTGTCGCCATGAGGAGCGGTGAGGCTTTGATGGCCGCGTTCACACTCCTCTTGCTGGGCAGAGATGAACACCCGACGCTTGTTTGTCAATAAAAACGCATAGACTCACCCCCAGCATAGAAACGTGGAATTTCCACCAGTGGTGCAGGGCTGTAAACAAGAGCTCAGCACCAATGCCTCAATGCTCATTTGAGCAGGAAATCACTTCGTGGAGGTGAATTATCACCCCACGATGCAGTCGAAGCACCAGGTGAGTGAGCAGGTGAGGGGGCAGGTGAGGGACCATGTGAGGGGGTAGGTCAGACATCAGGTGAGACCGCTGATATACCAGCAGAGGTCGCAATCGGGTACCCGATACCCGGCTACGGGTACCCGTTTGCGACCCTGGTGCGGCCGGGTACGGGTAGCCGCACGTGACTCACCCCAACCAATGAGTGAGAAGGCCGTGAGTCACTAGTGAGTAACCGTTTGTCACTCATTTCCCAACGTCTTGTCTCTTCTCACAATTCAAGTTCCTAGAATCAACCCACCCGGGCCTGCAACATGGCTTCATCCCAGAGGTCGCAATCGGGTACCCGATACCCGTACCTTACCCGATACCCGGCTACCCGTATCCGGCCGGGTACGGTACGGGTTCTCATTTGCGACCCTGGTGCGGCCGGGTACGGGTAAGGAATCAAAACCCGTTTGCGACCTCTGTATACCAGGTGAGACCACTTGATGAAAGACCAGGTGAAACACCAGGTGAGGACCAGGTGAGACACCAGCATACATATCGACTCCAAGAGGTTCAAATCAATGAGAACTCTACTGAAAAACTTTGGGAAATCCGAAGAAACTGAGAGGGAAGCCCAATAATCTGAGGCACATAAACATTTTAACTCGTGCAGGCAAGGGCAAGTCTGCATGAGTTTGTGTAACAGCAATGGACTATATATTCTTGGTTCTTTCGGTAAAGTCACGTAAAAGGGAAACAATAAAATGATAAAAATATTAAACAATACAATTCTCACGACGTTTCGATTGCAACACAAGCAATCATCATCAGGTGCGAAAACCACAGCCACTTTTTTCAAATTTTCTTGCTGCGGTGTTTACACCTGATGATGATTGCTTGTGTTGCAATCGAAACGTCATGAGAATTGTATTGTTTTATATTTTTATTATTTTATTGTTTCTCTTCTACGTGACTTCACCAAAAGAACCAAGAATACAAATCCCTGCAGTCACGAAAGCTTTAAATCAGCAATAGACTACTATAATACCCCACTTCGTGAACACCTCTCCATAGTAAATGATATAATAGCCTGGGATTGTTATTAGTTTCCTGCTTTTTCCTCATAGAAAGGTTGTGAGTGAAGACGAAACTCTTGGATCGGACGCTTACATAATGAGACCTGAACCATCAACAGCAGCTACCCGTGCACTGCAGTAAATAGGGCCGAGTGTGTGATTATTTACAATAAATTAAATAACAACACACAACATGGCAATACGTTGCATGGATTGATTGAGACTCTCATCATTCAGACTCTGTCTACTCGACAGACCTGCTCTCCACCTGAGGACGGCTGCTTGCGTTGTGGCCGAAACGTCGTGAGAATAATTTTATAATGTTTTATTTGTATTATTTTATTATTTCCATTCTACGTGACTACCGAAAGAACCAAGAAGATGACTCTCAACATTGTGAGAAACCGTTCAGAAGTCTCAAGGATAATGTGTTACCAGGTGAGGGCCCAGGTGAGGGCCTAGGTGAGGGCCCAGGTGAGGGCCTAGGTGAGGTGGCCGGGCAGCCGAGCGTGGAGGGGCTGGCTTTGCTGCCGCCCGTGCTGCAGCTACTGACTGACCCTGGGCGGGATGTCACGGATGACACGTGCCTGGAGAAGCTGCTGGACTGGCTGGGCCGAGAGATGTCTCTTCCAGGTGCGATGATTTCATTGTTGTTATTATTATTGTTGTTGTGCTTGTTTACCGAGGAAAGCCTCAGGACTTTTTAAAATCCTTTATATTAAGTTCACTTGCTTGCTTGCTTGCGCGCTTACGACCGTGCAAATATTTCGGTCGTTTTTTAACCCACTTCCCGTGATCCAATCGAGCTGACATTTTGCACACAGACTCGTTGTGCGTGACAATTTATTTTCGTGAAAAAATTTTTCCAAAATTTTCCACTTTATAGGAACATTTTTTTTTCATATTTAATTTAAAATACCAATGTGATAAAAATGAAACTCTTACTCAAGAAAAACAGAAATGAATAATACAATAAAACCGATGCCACGCATATGAAGGATTTATAGTGAAAAACTTTGCTTTTACGGGTTAATTTTTTTTGAGTGCTCTGATAAGTTTTACGCAGTAGGGAGCACTGTAGCTATGTGTTATAATCATCATCAGAGTTGGATCGCTTGACCAATTCCATTTGCGTTGTAACATTGCTTTTCAGAAGAATCCTGACAACGTTTTCACAGTAGGGGGCGATGTTGCTGCGCTGTCGAAAGCCAAAAATCCACGTGGATTCCTCCTGCAGCAGTAGTAAATGGCACATTTGTTCACGTGACAACTTTTTTTTACTTGGCTTTATCAGGTGGTGGAAGGGTGTATGCCACACATCGATTGGCATTTTATTCACGCGACGGTCTGGCTCAAAAATCAATCAACGAAATCCTGCGCGGGTATTACATTTACCAATCGAGCGATTTGCATTTAATTCTTCACCATCGGGATGTGTAATCTAGAGAGAGTGCCAGCTCAACCGTGTGTGAGATGCAGATTAAGTAATGTGAATAATGCTACGAGAATTAACATTGCGCACATAACGTAGCACAACTTTTTCACGCAATTTATTTTAGCCGAGGGCAGGGGTGGAAAAACCCGTAACAGACCAAGAGCCAAAAGGTATAGTAATAGGTTTTTACCCTTTCAACTGGTACAAAAACTGACACCTTTATACAAGGCATCATGTTTGCAATAACCACAACACAAGCAGTCAAAATGCAAACAAAAAGGAACAACTCTGATAATGGTATGCACTGTCGTCTTGGTTTTTTCGGTAAAGTCACGTAGAAGGGAAATAATAAAATAATAAAAATAAAACATAATAAAATAAAATCTATTTAATAATAAAAATAAAACATAATAAAATAAAATATCTATTTTATTGTTTTATTTTTATTATTTTATTATTTCCCTTCTACGTGACTTTACCGAAAAAAACCAAGAAGATGAATCCCTGAAGTCACGAAAGCTTTAAATCGAAATATGCACTGTCCTTGAAGTTGATTGGTCCACACCCGAGACAGCTTTTCTTAGAGCCTAGTCTCCATTGGTGTTGGACCAGATGACGCCAAAAGGCGTACAACTCAAAAACAGTGCACTATTAGAGTATTGAGAGCTCGGGGTAAGCATTTACACTGAGACATCTCCTTTACCAGTGGCAAAATATAGTAGTAGGTTTTTACCCTTTCAACTGGTACAAAACTGACACCTTTATACAAGGCCAAAGGTACCCGTGAGTTCGGCAAAGAGCCAAGTTTATATATAAGCGTGCATATATTGACAGTTTCGGCACAGCACAGGAGATATTCACTACTGTTTGCAACTGTTATCGTACATTCTACGTTATGCCATTTTCGATGGAGCCGCATGCGGTAGATTAAAGAGCCGCATGCGGCTTGCAAAGTCACCATTGGACCACCGCTGATCTAGGTGGACCCCATAATGGCAGCTGGCCTTATGCAGAACACGGTGACTCGGCACACTGACCAGTAAGTGGGGATTAGACCTGCCAGTAGGGGAGCGATGTTGTATTTGCTCATTCCGATGAAGTAATTTTCGAGTCTTTTCTGAAATTTGGACCGTGGTTCCGACACGCATGGCATCCGACTCTTGATGAACGCTGCGGAATCTTGAACGTCGACTGTGAAGTGGAGGATTTAAGTTTAATACACCCGCAGAATCAACTAGGACAGCCAGGGGGCTTGAACCGCAAAACCTCTGCAACAGGCGTCAAATCCGTGATGCTGCTCGGCCACATCGCTGCCATGGTGCTGGGTATGACTGAGATACAAAGACCAATATCCCATGTGTAGCCTTTAACTGTTGGGGCAAGTTCTGTAAGGCGAGCACCTATTGAGGCCAACGCATCACACAGTAGGGTGATACGGCTACACCAACACGACCACCTTCGTCTCTCCCCAGTGCTGACGTTTACACACCGCACCATGTGGCCATTTATTTCCGAGTCAACCGGAGCTCCAGAACCGGTTCAGATATACATCGCAGATGTTGGCCTTGAGCGGGAATCGAACGCTGGTTTGCCCGGTGGGGAGCACTAACCACTGCACCACCACCGCCTTTCCCACCGCGAGATATACACTGCTCGCTCACGCGCGTGTAGCGCCTTGATGGTGCCCGTGTCTCGCCTGCCTTGTGGCGCCGGTGGGGTCCTGCCTGCTTGCCCCCCCCCCCCGTGTCAAGGCGCCAGTGAAACACCCTATTTTTTTTCGCCGCCCGTTTTACGGGGAACAGACACCGGCGGGGAGGTTTTGCGGCACGTGCGTCCGTGCGTGCTGGACTTCCTGGGCCGCGTGAGTGCCGCACGGATGGACGTCGCTCCCTGCGTCCTCTCCCTCGCCCTGCGTCTCGCCGGGCTACTGGGCACAACCGACTTTGGCTTCCAGCGCCTGCAGGTAACGCCCGGCAGAGAATTGGCGCCGCGCACAATCCAACAACGCGAATGGATCACTAGATAATGATGATGTTGGAGAGCCAAGCCACAACATTTATAATCTTGGCTCTCCAACAAACCTGTGTGCTGTACTCGTAACGAATTGGCATGTGTTGTTTACATGACAACCCTTACTCGTTGGCTGTGTCGTGTGTTGGCGGATTTAACGACATATATTTACGCGATCTAACCCAACAAAAACCTGTATTATGGATGGTATTGGTTGCGAAAGCCTACGTGTTAAAATGCAAATGATCATTAATTGGCCGAGAACCCTTTCGTATATAGAGGACGGCAGAGCTTGGATAATTGTTGGCGCCAGTTCTTCCTGCTCGTCTGTGGTTCCTCCTCGCGCCTCGTGAGTCATCCTCTCTCTACGAGAGTGAGCGAACGCCGTGCGGCAGCGGAACGTAATGGGTTGACATTATTATCCAGCAATTGATTAACAAAAGGGGGGCTGTACTTGTGTGAACATGAATGTCTGAATGACCGAATAGCTGAATACGTTTTAGATTTGAAGCTTTCGTGACTGCAAGGATTCATATTTTTGGGTTTTTTCGGTAAAGTCACTTAGGTGTTATGTAGACTAGCCGTAGCTTCAGCCGCACCAACCTTACCATAATAATAAAAAACTCCTATCCAGGGGCTTGCCCTGGCTCCTCCCCCCTCAACCAGTATATATACGGGGTCAGATCTCTTGGAATTTCTCATTTACTTGATACAGCGAGCGTGCCGTGATGGTTCCACCTGAAGACGGAGGCTTGTGTTGCCTCCGAAACGTCATGATTTTTATTTTATTTTTATTTAACTTTTATTTATTTTATTTTTTTACCTACGTGACTTTACCGAAAAAACCCAAGAATATGAATAAGCTGAATGCGTGTTGCTCCGCAGGCTCTGGGGCTGGTGGACGGGCTGTTTGGCACACTGCCCGGCCCGGAGAGCTCCCCGTGGCGCGAGGCGGCGGTGCGCTGCGGCTGGCTCGTTGGGCTCGGCTCGGCGCTGCGGCACGAGCCCGCGTTCCTGTGGCTGTGCCAGCCCGGTGAGCCGCGCCGTGACGTAACCACCGCGCCCGGTCACCCCACACGCAGTCGCACCGCTTCCGGCCGCACGACTGCCGGCCAACATTGTTGGTCACGCCACGTCCCGGCCACTTGGCGGCCTGCCACACCACGGCAATGTGCGGCCACATACATCCACACCGCACGCAGTCGCATCATGGCTAGCCATCCTCAGTCATGGAACAGCCACACCACGGCCATGAAACAGCCATCCGCCCCTACTATCTGGCTTGCTACACAGTCAACACATCCTTCAAGCACCACTCTTCACCGTCTCACGAGCACTATTTGTCTTTTAAGTCTTTCCTTGGGTCACCCACCTCTGGGTACCACTCCAGTGTCCTCCTTCCCCCCAACCCCCTCCCTCATCCTCCCTTCTCTCCTTCCTCTGCCATGGGCGACACACAAACTCCTCCACGATGATCTGGAGCGGCCTGCGTTGAGCATCGCTGCAGCCGCCGATCGTCGCCTCGTTACGGCGGAGCCGCGGATCGACGCGCGGGGGTGGTGGTGGGGGTGAGGGAGTGGCGTTCGATGGGTGGGGGGGGGGGCGGACTCGTCTCGTAAAAATGCGGAGTGAGCAGGGGAAGCCGAGAGCCACTGCCCTCGAGTACCGCGCCACTCTCGTGCGCCGTAAAATTAAAAGGGATTTGATGTCCCAATATCGATCGTTTTTTTTTAATTTGCGACAGACTCCGCGCGTGGCGCTGCATCGTGGCGAGAGGGCACCGTGCCGCGCCAGGCAGCAGAGGGCGCACTCTGACCAACAAGTTCCTGCAACCGTCCGTGTTGGCTGGGCATGCCGTTAATTCGAGACAAATTGTTCTGCTCGGCGAGCGAATGACGCTGTTAGTTTCAGGCTAACAGCGACCACATGGCAGGGGTTTTTGTTGTTTGTTTTAAGCTTCAAAAGTTTACCGTCGCTTATGTTGTCGGTGCCGCCGCGTCATAGAGACGAAGAGTTAATTCGGAACTCTCGCTGAGCAGAGCCACCCCTTGGTGTCAGAAGCGGATATCACAGAGCTCCCTCCGAGGTCCCTTCAAGTGACCTCTGGCCCGCACACACAGTAGAGGGGGCAGCACTTTCCAATCATAATCATCTTCTCCCTGGTATTATTCCCACTCATTTTAGGGTCAGCCTCTGGTCCACGTGGTAGTTGGGGAAAAACACACATTTAAAACGCAGAACCAAATGTAACGCGGTTTTTATTTGTGCAGTCATTGGTGACTGGGCTGGCATCACCAACTCACTGCTGCACTTGAGACACCGGTGGAACCGCTGTTGCTGTGGCTTAGCGGCTCAAACCCGGATTCGAACCCAGGGTCTTTCCACAGCACCGCCTTCACGTCTTTGACCTCTGACCTACCCGGCCTCCTGACACAGATCGACAGCCATGGGGGCCTGTGTGGAGTAGCCAAGGGGGTCGCTGTTGGTGTCGCCAAGGGCACCCATGAATGACATCTGGGGGTCATGTGGCTTGTGCCGCCTGTACAAGGTTGACCATATTGGGTTTGTCCGTGGGGATGTTGCTGAGCTGCCCGTTGTGTTTTTGTTGTTGTTTATTTCTTGTCGTAGGCAACGTCGAGGTTGTCCTCTCTCTCTGGAAGGACCCCAGCATGTTTGTGGCCAACGCGGCCAATCAGCTGCTGGCGCGGATGCTCGTGTGGGGCGAGCGCCTGGGCCCCGCGGCCGCGCCCCCCTCCTCGCCGCCTCCCTCGTCCCCCGCCGGCACCCCACGTCACAACCCCGTGCTGGGTATGATCACCGCTCCCATCCTGCGCGATGCGCACAACAACAAGAGCAGCCGCCGCCATTCGCCACCTAGTGGCGGTGATGTCGCCTGGCGGCGGCGACGTCACCATGGCGTCTCTGCCAGGCTAAGTGCACTTTGAGGCCAGGCGAAGAGTGCGGGGGGGGGCACATGGCAAAGATTGCAGTCCCCCCCCGACTCCATGCCACCTCCCATCCGGACCCGGCTGCGAGCGCCGCCCGGCGCAGAAACCGACTTGGCAGCTCGTGCCGTGGGCGCCACCACCGTCGTCGCCACCGCTCCCGGCGACGTTCGTAATTCACGGCACGGCGACACGGAGGGGCGGCGGCGGCGGTGGAGCCACCCCCCCACCTCCTCTCACCGCTCGCCAATTACGGCCAATTAGCGCAAGAGGCAATCCGAACTCCAAGCAGCCCTTGGCTCAGAGTAGCGATGTGGAGCACGAGCGGCAGGAGGGAGGAGAAGGAGAAGCCGCCGCGGGCATTAAAGTTTCGCGGCGAGATTCCACTGCCGGATTACGGCCCCCCCGTGCGCTGTTAAGATGTGCCGACGGTCAATGTGTGGTTGTTGTGTTGTTGCGGTTTTTGTGTTGAAGGGGTTTGTTGTTTTTGTGTTGAATGTGTTTGTTGTTATTATGTCGAATGTGATAATTGGTTCTTTACCCTTCTATCTGGCAACAAAACTGACACCTTTTTACAAGGAGTCATGTTTGCATAGACCGCAATACCTGCAGTCATAATACAAACAAAAGAACATAACTCTGATATTTTATTTATTGCGGTCTATGCAAACATGACTCCTTGTAAAAAGGTGTCAGTTTTGTTGCCAGATAGAAGGGTAAAGAACCAATTATCATATTTTTACTGGCAAATGAGGTTCCCATAGTGTAGATGCTTGCCCCGAGCTCTCATACTCTGATGGTGCATTGTCCTTGAGTTGTGCGCCTTTTGGCGTCATCTGGTCCAACCCATATGAGACTAGGCTCGAAGGAAAGCTGTCTCGGGTGTGGACCAATCAACTTTAAGGACAGTGCACATTATCAGAGTTATGTTCTTTTGTTTGTATTATGACTGCAGGTATTGCGGTCTATGCAAACATGACTCCTTGTAAAAAGGTGTCAGTTTTGTTGCCAGATAGAAGGGTAAAGAACCAATTATCATATTTTTACTGGCAAATGAGGTTCCCATAATGTCGAATGTGGTTTGCCGCATAATGTTCGTTGCTGTATGTAACCCGTTTGTCGCTGTGGTCTCTGTACGATGCGTCCTTGATGTGGTCGCATAACGCGATTGCAGCACAGCGTATTTGCAGTCATTGCCGTGGCGTTGTGGCTGTGCTTGCCGTGACCGCTTAACGGTATTTACGGCTGCGGTTGCTGTGCAATGGCTTCCTTCGTCGCCACGTTCATTGTCGTCGTCACGCTCGTGTCATTCCCCCCGCGCAGACCTCGTCGACCGTTCCGTCCGTTCGTCTCTGCGCGGCGACGACGGCGGCGAAGACGGCATCCGCCGGGCCCTGCGTCTCCTGGCGGCGTGGTGGGCGAGCGGCGGCAGCGTGGCCGGCGCCGCGGGCCTCGCGACGGACGCCGAGGCGGAGAACGGCCGATCGGATGGCACGGGGGAGGATGGCGGCCGCTGGGAGGCCATGGCGGCGTTGTGGCCGGACGTGCGGGCCTGCTGGGAGGGCGGACGCGTGGGCGAGCGCGAGACGCGCACGGTGCAGGCGCTGCTGGACCTTCACTTGGCGCTGCTGCTGCGGTGCGGAGCGACGGCCGACGGCCGGCATCGCCAAAACACCATCGCCGCTGCTAAAACGCCGTCACCGTCGCTGCTAGCACACCACCACTATCGTCAAAACACCGCTACCACTGCCGCTAAAACACCACTACCATCACGGCCACAAAACCACCACCGCTTGAACACCGACACCACCACTGTTGCCAAAACACCGCCACTAACAAACCCTCACTACCGCTAAATCACCACCGCCACTAACACACCACCACCGCCAAAACACCACAAGCGTGGGGTTTTTTCTCCAAGCGCTGTAATTAATTGAAAATCGATTATTCCATTCCCAATACGCACATTAAATACGTCATCGATTACTTCCGCAAGCCGTACGTCGTACCTACACGACGTGCTGCAATGAGTCCATGTGCAGACGCTAACAGGCGGGGATCGTTACATGGCCGGATGGTGAGGTGGCGGCAGCCCTCATCCAGCAGTGGATTGATCACGGCTGACGGGATGATGACGATAGCGATGATGATGCTATATGGACATATATGTTCATACCGATGGCGCTAATGGGACAGATCATAGCTGGCAGCACAAGCGAGACAGAATTGACGAGAGACGGAACAGATGGGATGGGGTTAGATGGCGCCAACAGGACAGACGGCGGTAGGACCGAGACGGGCTATTCCTGAGTGACCCAGAATCGTGCTAAGCCAGCTGTGAACACTCGGGGGGGAATGAATCATTGCAAACCTGTTGCTGACTCCCGCACGGCGCTAACATGGCTGGGTTCGGGTTTTACCGCGTGGTGCTCGACATGTTCAGTGGTGAAACGGCGAATACTCGGGAGTCTTGCGATTCGGATCCCAAGTTCAGGTCTCCGAGCTCGTGTTCCGGTGACGTGGCGGACGGCAGCCGGTCCGAAAACACGCCGGAGCGCGATACATCTTCACGTTCAGAAGTGAACGCTTTGGTGCCCGTAGGATCGTTGGGGTCATGACGCAAGTTCACGGTGTAAACTCTGTTCCCATTCGCCCCTTTGCCCCCCGCATCGCCCCCGTCACCTCCCAGGAGCCGCGAGTCTCCCCCAGGCTTCCTGCACCTGCCGGCGCTGCTGCAGGCGCTGCTGGAATCGCGGCACGCGGGGCACGGGCTGTCGCTCGCCGCCGCTCTGTCGCGGCTGCCCGGGTACGCGGGCCTCTAGCGACACACACCGCACCACGCCGGGACCGCCCCGCGGCACTGTTGGCGACGACGAGAAGCGACGTCAACTTTTCAGTGTTGTTTAGCGCCCAATACATAGCCGCCGGCGGCGTTATGTTTCCAGCATACGTTAACCCGCCTTTATCAACCTCGCCACTAATCGCTGTGAAGTACCGTTGAATAACACCGTGTCCTCCACCATCCTGATTAGACCCGCTCGGCATTCAGAGGTGATGTCTCTGTCTCATGGCAAGAGAAGGAGAATCCATTCGGAACTCTCGCAGGCAACAGCGCAACTCTGCTGGCCTACAGAAGTGGATATTACAGAGCTACCCCCCAATGAGATCCCTTCAAGCGACCTCTGGTCCACGCACATCTCACACACTCTGCCATACGAGAGTGAGTTAAACCGATGTTCCGTGAGAATTTAAGCCCTGATAATGATTGTCATCAGATGCAGCATCATCATCATCCTCGTCTTCCTGTCCGAGGCCATCATTCTTGTCCTGGTCCATCTCCGTGTACACTTCATCAGACTTACAAATATATTATCAGCGTTGGTGATTATACTGTTACTGATGAGACCAATCACGGACGAAACCCGTCCACAGTTATCTATGTCCGTCTCACTGTTGCTGGTAAAGCCGGTCAACTTTCTGCCCAAATTTATTTTGATGATAACTTAAGGAAAGACGGCCACAGTGCAATGTTTCAGGAACTGCCAATGTTCTTTTTTGCGTCACGCTCTTGACACGTTTCTGCCTGCATTGTTGCTCTGAAAGACATTGTCAAAGACTAACGAAAGACTTGTTTTCAAATTATCTACGCACAGTGAACTCCTGTGGAGTGCAATTCATGAGAAAATCGAATGCGATGCGATTGATGATTTATTTGATGACGTGATGCCTCCCCCCCCCCCCCCCCCCCTGCTTCTCCCGCTCCCACCGGTCCCCCTCTCCCCTCCCCGTGCAGCTCCGAGCGGGACGCAGCCGCGGCGCACGTTCACACGGTGCTGCTGCCTCTGCTCGCCGCCGCTGCGGAGGCCGGCTCGACGGCGACCGAGGGGGCCACCGCTCCCGCCTCCGCTCCCCCCCTCCGCCGGCGCCGACGGCGTGGCCACCTGGGCGCTGCGGCACATGGGCACGCGGGCCGGCGCCGTGGGGCTGCTGTGCCACGCGACGCACCTCCTCAGTCAGCTGGCCGGAGAGGTTTTTCTTTTTTACTTTCATCACATCCACTTCACATCCCTGACGCGTGGCTACGGCAAGGCCACGTGCCGCCCGCGCCATCGCCACACCACATCCAGCGTGCCGTGTTGTCTTGGCCGTGCTTCTTTTTGTCATGCCGCGGGTTGGGGAAAGGTCTTGCCATAAGATTCTTGCCATAGGGGCATCGAAGGATGGGTTCTACAGGGGATTTTTGCGGCACTGCCCCCTACTGCGCGCCATGCAACAGTGCTGCCCTCGCGGGAACGCCTGCGCCCATCGCAGTCGGCGTTGCGACTCCGTCCAAATCTACGTTTCTGGACGTCTGCTGGGGGAGACGCACCGGCGAGACTGCTTCGTGAGCGCAGGAGCTAGGTGAATCGCTGCGTCACGTGTCAGGCCTCGGCTTGTGGAGGCAGTCTTCGTCCAGCAGTGGAATCATTGCACCTGATGATGTTGAGGAAATGAATGGGCCTTCCTCACCCATGAATTCCAATGGCTATTTCATCTGCCAACTCCTGGTTGACTGGATTCATATTACCCGAGTATCGTCACCATCTCCGCGGCATTCCTTGCTTCGGCTTGCCCCTCCGCCGTTAGTCTTGGCCCCACTGGACATCAACCCTCCTAGCCATGACTTGTCCTGCGCAAGCCCAACTTGTGTCGACCGTCAATACGACGACGACGATATGTCTCTCACCTTGAATTTTTCTCTCTGATCCATGCGTTTCTCCCTTCCCCGTCTCGCGGCGTAATTCCCACCGGCTTCACCGATGTAAAATGTTAATTCGCCTTGTCGTTCCTTTGGCCACGAAACGCATTCTTTGCCTGCTTATTTATTAATTATTTGATCGGGGTGTAATTGCGCGCGTGTCACACGCTGTTCTCTGGGTGGTGCTGTTTCGCGTGTCACACGTCATGAAACAAAAGATGTCACGGTCGTGGCAGTCGGTGCGGTGATGCATAATTGAAAGAGCGATGGGGAACAGCCACTTACAAACACACGTGGTATGCATGTATGCATGAGCCGCATTAAAACACGCGGACATAAAACGCGCGCGCTGGCGCGGGTGCCGCGAATGGAGGCTCGACAAAAAAATCTTGCGAAGTGGGGACGCGTCTTTAGTCTATATTTATGATTTATTTGTATGTACGTGCGACATTACTCTCGGTGCAGGAGCCTCAGAAATTAAAGGAGCCGTGTTTCCGTAAATCCTACCCAAACGTCTCCGGTTTGGGCCCGGACAGTCCCCGTGGATTAAAAAAAGTCTCTCTCTTCCGGTATCACCCTGCGGTTGAAAATGTTCCGATCGCCGCTGATGATCTGGACAAAGGTGGGCGGAGCTTCTGAATAGTGGGTGGGGTTACCTGAGCAGCGCGTGGATCTACCAGAGTAGTGGGAGGAGCTACCTTAGTAGTGGGTGGAGCTACAGAGTCGTAGCCAAGCCAGCTCCGGTGTGGCTTGGAAGGCAGCTTGTTGTTTTTCCACTGTGCATGAAATGAACGAGTCGGGTGGCATGCAGATGATGCATTTGACGAAAACGATAACTCCCGCCCCATGGCCTTGCTTGACTCCAAGCCAGATGTAGTGGCTCTAGATTTGAAGCTTTCGTGACTGCAAGGATTCATACTCTTAGGTTTTTGGGTAAAGTCACGTAGGTAAAAAATACAATGAAAATTAATAAAAGTAATAATAGAAATAATATAAATCACGACGTTTCGGAGGCAACACAAATCTCCGTCATCAGGTGGGACCGTCACAGCTAGATTTACTGTATCAGTCATCAGGTGGACGGTCCCACCTGATGACGGAGACTTGTGTTGCCTCCGAAACATCGTGATTTATTATTTTATTTCTATTATTACTTTTATTAATTTTATTTTATTTTTTACCTACGTGACTTTACCGAAAAATACCTAAGAGTATAGATGCAGTGGTCTTGTGAGGCCAGCGTGTATCACGGCTCGGCAAACAGCCAGTGGAAAACCACCTACACCATGTGGGCCCCATGCCGGCTCCGCTTTGATGTTCCATTTGGAGAAGGTGCAAACCAAAACCTTGACCATAGCGGATTTGACCATTCGCGCCAAATTTATTGAGATACAGTTCGCCGATTGCGCGCTTGACGCCCGTCGCAGGTGCCAGTTCACGTGTTCGCCAGCGTCCAGCGAGGTGGCGAGGTTCAACCGCACGATTGCGTACAATACTGTACATGCATTCATTTGGGGCGCCACTGTGGGAAGATGTTAACTACCTCGCCTGGTATACAGGAGGTCGTGGGTTCAGTCCCGACCCTGACGCCTGCTGTATATTTGGAGTTTGCATGTACTCCCAAGTCCGCCGGTGTTTCCCTCCACGTTTAGAAGCAAGCGCTTAGATTATGTGGCTGCTATACACTTCCACATAAGTCACTTCGGTGAGCTATCATTTGTGACCAGCCATATCGCTCGGCGTGCCTTACCTGGTCAAATAAAAAACAGTTTATAGTTGATTTACTTTACAGGTTATATTTAACACTGTAGAAAACATTTTACGTTGAAATATACTTCCTGTTTCACGTTTGGGTTCATGTAGGGGAGCATGAAACAAAAGGGAAGTGGTGTTTTATTGCAAACCGAGAACCCGGTCCTATTTTTTCCCACGCGCCTTTGATTTTGCGGATCACGGATTTGTCGATTGCGGTCAGTTTTCAAGAACCTTGCCCCGCGCTGGCCAAGATTTCGCCGTACTTGTATTCCGGTTGAGTCTCCCAGGAATATTGTATCTTTAATCTTCTTCCTCCGTACGGCTGCTGATGAAGATGCAGAGCAACAATTTGACATCGAGGTGGTCAAGCCAGATGGCCGCGTGGGGAGCCGCGGAGTTTATCGCCGTGATGTCTCCTTCGTATTTGTGGATCGGACATTATTGCATTGTTTTGCATTGTTATACGTTGTACGGTCTGTTCTGGATGCTGGAGAGTTTAAAATTTTCCATTTGTGCATCAGGCACGCACATCTGCCACGGTTTGTGCAGTGGATGCGATTAAGGTTGGACCACGAGCTTCACGGAAGATCAAAACCAGGGATCTTCTGCATTGGGTCTTTCGCAGGGCGTTTGTTTGCGAGCTCTTTTGAACTCCATTCAGCTCTCCCAAGATTAATCTGAATTGAATTCGCATTGTTTAACGTTAAGAGCATGGGTCCAAAAGGGCTTGGCATGACTTCAAATGATCACGGGGGACGATATTGAGGTCCTGATGAAAGGGAAGGGGACCTTAATGAGCCTGGCCTAATTGCGCTGTTGTTTTTCGACCCCACGCACCCCCTCGCCGCCTCCCCTTCCCCCGTGCAGGAGCGGACACTCGGACGTGCGGAGGCCACGGCGGCCACCGAGGGCGTGTGCCGCGTGGTCGCCCTCAGCCTCGGCCTAGACCTCCCACAATCCCCCACAGGAGGGCGGCTGGCGCTATTTCTGATTGGCTGCTCGCGAGTGCAGAGGGTGGGGCTTGACTGCTTGGCTGCCCTGGCCGCACCAACAGAAGGTAATGAACACAATGCTTGTATACACAACGGCATTTGGATATACGATAACCCTGGTATACACAACGGCACTGATACATACGACACTTTAACACGTAGGCTTTCGCGACCAATATTATTCATAATCAACGTTTTTGGGTTAGATAGCGTTATTTATAAATGCGTCGTAACCCTCCACCACCCGACACGGCCAATCAGCAAAAAAGTGTCACGTTGACAAAAGACAAATAGTTCACTGCTTTAGCCCACCGGTGTGTTGAAGCGTGAAACCACAACATTTACAATTTTTGGGTACGACGTTTCGCTGGCAATTGCATCCAGCATCATTTCGCCAGAATAGCCCGATGGTTTCACGCTTCAACACACCGGTGGGCTAAAGCAGTGAACTATTTGTCTTTTGTCAACGTGACACTTTTTTGCTGATTGGCCGTGTCGTGTGGTGGAGGGTTACGACACATTTATAAGTAACGCGATCAAACCCAAAAACGTTGATTATGCATACGACACTTGTACACACAACAACACACGCATACAACAAACATACACAACGATAATTCGTATACACATTGACGCGTGTATACATAATGACAACTGTATAAACACTGCACTGATGCACAACTATACTAATACACACCATTACTCGTAAACACGACATATATACAAAGCACTCGTATACACAATTATATTTGCATACACAACACACGTAAACACAACACTCATGCACAACTTCACTCATGTATGCAACAGTACTTGTATACACAGTAAAAAGTTATTGGAAATATGTGGATTAATCTCAATATTCCGCCATGTCACCGAGACACAACAGGATTCGTGCTATGATAATATGAGGATGAAGGCCTTCCCACACTCCCTTGGTCACGGGAGTTGTTTGACCATACTTCACCACGCTGGTCAGAGCTCGGGTGCACAGTCTCGGAGTGGCCGCGCTAACTACTCCACCACCGCTCCCTGCGCGCACACACCCACATAGACATCTTAGGAAGCCACTGGAGCCATGCACTTTTAAATCTAGATTGAAAACGAATTTCTTGAGAGCTGGTTATTGTGCTTTAGTTTGTCCTTTTCCCCGCACCTCCGATTTGCACGATTGGCCACGCACAGTGCGAAATAAGTTCGATGTACGTGTGGATAGGTTCTGTAATCATCACGATAACTTGCACACACTCGCACAAAAATATTAAAGCAAAGATCTCCCGTATAGTCTCAGCAGACTGTCGGGGCAAGTGCTGTTAGCGAGCACCTATGAAGGCCGGCACGGCACACAAGGGGGTGGGTGGCCAGCAACCACCCCCGATCGCCTTTGTCCCCCCAGTGGTGATGTTTACACACCGCACCAGGTACTAATTTTAAGGCTGAGTCGACCTAGGGGATAATCGTCACTTGTGTTGGCCGTGAGCGGGAATCGAACTTGGGTTGCCAGCTTGGTAGCTCGGCGCGCTAACTGGCACAACACACGCACATACACGTGCAACTTGTGTCGTGAATCGCAGCGGTAATGAATAATTATAGAGCCTTCGTGCCCCTTAATTTTTTTGCGCCTCGGAGAACTAACGCGGCGCAACGAGACGATTACGGAGCGCCTTGCACTGCGCAAATAACAAAATAATAATAGTAATGATTAACAAACAAAAAAACATGCAATAATTACGAAATCCCGTCTGGCGCTATGTCTTGAGGAATCGACCGACCTCGTTTTGTGCCGACGCGGCGCTGCGGCGTTGGTGTCGGCGGCGCCCGCAACTGCCGCAGCTCGTCGCTGCCACCCCACCACCACTTTCAAACGCGGCCAAGTTTGAGGACAGCAGATGACCTCATAAATAATAAAATAGTGCCGTTAATATTTAAACAAAGTTTTTTTGGACCCGACAATCGTCTTTGAAGTTTTAATAAAAAAAAAAAGTCTTAATGGGATCCCGAATTATTCCCGCGCGGGGTTGCCACTGGAAATGATCGTCCTTCACGCACCCACTCGCCCGCCCCACTAGCTCCCGCTCCTCCAAGCTTGATTATTCGCATTTCTTGCAACTCCTTCTGTTGTCTTGCAAGACACACGACGCTCGCCTCTGTGAAGTGTGCGAGGAGGGGAGAGCCGCCCGTGCCGTCGCGTTCATTGGCCGGTTTCTCGGCCCGTTAGCTGGGCACGGCCTCGCAACTCGGACGACTAGTCGAGAAGCCCAACTCTCGCCACGAATGGAAATCGTGGCCGAACATCTCAATGTAGCAGCGCCCCCTCTTGCAAAGAGAGTCTTGAGGCTCGGCGAGGGTTTACTCGGGAATAGTGAAATTGGCATCATGAGCGTGTGCACAGCCCTCTTGTCAATACATGCCGTGCGGGCCGTTGGGGGTTGTTTACCATACTTCACCACGCTGGTCGGTGCTGGTTAGTGAAGAAGGTAGGGAGCAAAGACATGCGAGCGTGGAACAGTACAACAGTTGATTTTGCAGCACCGCTTTCTATTTCCCACAAAGTATTCCCGAAGTAGCTTCTAACTCCTGATTATGCATGATGGTGGCTTATGCGAGTACTCAGAATCTGACGACATTGGGCTGAATTCTGAGAAGCTGTGACCTATAATTCCGAGAAGCTCTGATCGAGAATCCTGAAAAACTTTGATCTAGAATTCTGAGACGTTCTGATCTAGAGTTGCAAGAAGCTCTCATCTAGAATTGCAAGAAGCTCTCATCTAGAAAGCTCTGATCGAGATGTTAACGGTTGAGCAGCCATCACGCGCACAATCAGCGGCGTTGGCACAGGGCCGCCGGGTGACCGTTTAGCCGGGCTCCTGGGCCCGCGTGCCAAGTGACGCCATCAACCACGGGCCGCGTGCCGCCTTCGCTGAGAAAGCCCGAAATCTTTAGTGGCAACCGGTGTCGTTATGTGGCCAGTAAAAGTGAATGCGGGGATGATCCAATCATTTGGGAATGGCTCTCGCGTAATTCACTTTTATTTGGCCGTATAAAGGAATCGCTGCCTCTACACTTCCGCCGCCTCGGGTGGTGACCGCGGGCGAGTGGTGCCGGCAGAGTAGCCGCGGTCCAAGTAGGAGGTGGGAACGCGGGCGGTGGACGTAAAACATGTAAACTGCGGTCCGCGACTTTTGTTTGAAAAGGGTGAGCGACGGAGGGGGATTTGAGGTTAATGTTGCCATCCTCCACCCCCCTGCCACCCCCACCCCCCTACCGCCTCTTGATTAATACCCGCTGCGCCATCGTTTATTAATTTAATCCTCTGAAGAAATCCGTTCCGCCCCTCATTTTGGCCGATTGCGCTATCGACGTCGCGTCAAGAAGCGTTGGAATCCGTTCGCATCTCTCGCTGAGCGGTGCGACCCATCGCTCACGAGAAGCGGCTGCGACATAACAACTGCCGAGATCCCTTCAAGCGATCCGACGTGGCCTTAGAAGCGGTCCAGTGACATCGCCTTCCGAGGCCGTTGTCCGATGCAGGGTGATGCACTGCTTCTTACGAGAGCGGTGGCGCGGCTGTCATAATAATTGAGCCAAACGAGCGGTGATGAATATTCATTTCCCACCCCCACCCCCACCCCCCTCTGCCAACTGACGCTGAAATGAATCCAGCGATTCATTTCAGCCAGGTCTGTCCACGTCGGCTACCCAGCAAATATTTTCACAAGCGGCACACCACATCTCCAGTAAACCTCTCGCTAATGGATGTGGCGACTACTCGTCACATGCCACCTCCCGACCTGCCACATATACTCCAGTCTACATGTATGTTCCACACACAGTGAAGCCCTGTGTAAGTCTACGGGGGCCTCTATGAGTCTAAGTGCATGGGTCTCCGCGAGTCTGCAATGCAGCCTGTGCATCTCTGTGTCAGTCTATATGAAGCTCTTCTATGTAAGTGTATGGGCCTCCGGAGTCTACATGAAGCCTAATTCTAGATTTGAAGCTTTCGTGACTGCAAGGATTCATACTCTTAGTTCTTTCGGTAAAGTCACGTAGGTAAAAAAATGAAATTAAAATTAATAAAAATAATTTTAATTTCATTTTTTTACCTACGTGACTTTACCGAAAGAACTAAGAGTACATGAAGCCTGTGGACCTCTGCAAAGGTCGATGCGTCTCTGCTTAAGTACTGGGCTTAATTGCAGCCAGGTCTGTTTTGGTGGGGCGGGGGTGGGGGAGGCAGCTTGGAACACATTTCTGCACCCGGTACACCACCTCAAGTATATCTCTCACCGTGACGGCAAGTACTACTATCCACGTGCCACCTACACTCCGACCCGCCCCCCGGCTCCTTTGTCGTCGTCCCGCCCACGCCGTTCGTTACTGCCGATTATGAGACACGAATTAATTACGAGCGAGGGTGTCTCCAATTAGTGCTTGATTGCCTTGCTTATTTGACAATTTGCCCCCAGGCAGAGGAATTTCCCCACCCCCACCCCTGTTTGCGGTGAAAGTTTTTGTTGAAAAATCAGTCGCACTTTTGTCTTGGAGAAGACTCCAGAGAGAGAGAGCGAGGGAGAGCGAAGTGAGAAAGAAGCGTGTGAGGAGAGACGGGGAGAGATCAAATAAAATTAAAAACGCGAAATAAGCCATCGTGTAGCATGTGTTCGCTAACCTGCATGGGGCTCGGAGAACCTCGGCGTTGCGCAAGAGATGCGTTTTTTTTCTCTCTCCCACACATCCCATCAGCCGCACGGCCTTCTGGGTGTGAATGCATCATTTCAGCGGCCGTTGGTTAAACACGAGAAAGAACCGGACCGGTTTCGACATTTCATCGTCTCGCCAGCAGCAGAGGCAGGCTTGCTTGAACTGCCACGTGTTTGTCGGGAAGGAACCCGCCTCTCCTGTCAGATATGGCTCCAAGTTCGACGCAACACTACAGTGGCAGGCTGTCGTTGTGCACGATTGTCCGTACAGTATTCGCGTCTGTGCGTTCACGTGTCTACGTGTGCGTGTCTGTGCGTGCGTGCGTCACGGGCAGGCGAAGATGCCCTCGGACGTGCGGTGGTGAAGGTTCTGCTCGGGTGCCTGGGCAGTCCGGATGCCGACCCCAGCGTAAGCGCCGCTCTGACCTCGCTCCTCGCATTTGCCCGGCCGCGTTCGCCCGGCGATGTGCGCTCGCACAACAACAGCAAAGACAAACGTCCTCTGTGTAACCTTTAACAGACTGTTGAGGTAAGTGCTGTTCACGAGCACCTATGAAGGCCAGAGCAGTACACGAGGGGGTGGGTGGCCAGCAGCACGCCCGGCCGCCTTTGTCTCCCCAGTCGCGATGGTTACACACCGCACCAGGTACTTATTTAAGGATGGGTTGAGGAACAGTGTAGATAATCGTCACTGGGGTTGGCCGTGAGCGAGAATCAAACCCGGGTCGCTGGGTTCGTAGCGCAGTGCGCAAACCGCTACACTACCGCTCACACACACTTCCACACACATAGCCTGAACAGACCGTTCCGGGCAAGTTCCGTGAGTGAGCACATGCCCGTTTTGGCCTTCATAGGACGTGGTGTGGCCAGCACAGCACACGAGGGGGTGGGTGGCCAGCACCTTGCCCGGCCACTTTTTTCTCCCCAGTGATACTCGAACTCGGATCGACGGGTTCATAGCCTTGCTCACATACCGTTATACTTCACAAACGTACATGCGCGTACGTGTCCTACACACACACACACACACAAATACCACCTTTGAACGGCGCCTGTGCGAGTTGTATTTTGACCCCAGTAGAATTCTAACCCCGGGGTGAGAATGCAATATATTATTTTAACCCCCTGCCTGTGGTAGTTTAAACGTCCTTCGCTCACCCTCGGCAGTTGGCGTAATGCCTCTATTCCCATAGCCGTGGTGCTGCTGGGACTTAGCCGACTGGGCTGATTGGCTCGTGTCTTCATGTTGACGGAAGCCAGTCTGAACGAGGTTGGTGCACCCTTTCGTATCACGTGGACATCTGTGGAAAAAAAGTGCGTTATAGCTCATCGGATTCCTCCAGTATATATTATGATTCTGATTCATGTCTTGCTCCGCACCGTTATGGGGCATACGCTTAGGTTTTTTCCGGTAAAGTCACGTAGGTAAAAATAAATAATTAAAATAGAATAATAGTTCGGAATGCGGCCTAGGCGTGCATTTGCAAGGGGAACCACTGGGTAGGTGCGCAACGCTGACCCCTAGCCCTGCTCGTATTCTGACCCCGGAATACAAATTCGATGGAGTCACAAGCATGACCCATTTGTGGCACCAAGACGATCACGGCTGTGTGCGTGCGTGTGTCTCTTTCTGCGGTAGTGGGGAACGGTGGCGCAGTGGTCAGCGCACTGCGCTGGGAACCTGCCGCCCCGAGTTCGATTCCCGCTCACGACCAATTACGGTGGTGGATATATGAACCTGTACTGGGCCTCTGCCCTAGGTTGACTCGGCCTCAAATGAGTACCTGGTGTGGTGTGTAAACTTAAACACTGGGGAGATGAATGCGGCCGCTGGGTGTGGTGCTGGCCACCCACCCCTTGTGTGTCATGCCGGCCTTCATAGGTGCTACTCGCTAACAGCACATGCCGCAACAGTCTGTTACGGCTATACAGGGGATCTTTACCTTTGTCTTTTGTCTCTTTGCTGCCCGTGTGAGTAGGTCATTGCCAAGGCTTTCCGGGCCCTTCAGCGCTGGCTGGAGCCTGAGCGGGGCCCGGCCTGGCTGACAAGTGACACGGAGGATGGTGAGTCCGTGTCTGTGTGTGTCTCTGTGCGCTTTCAGGGGGGCTGCCTTCACCAGCCCGTGCTGGCCAGCGTGGTGCAGTTTCACGTACGGTCAATTAACCTGCATGGCGTGGGAAGGCTGTCATCCAGCAGCGGATTGACAAAAGGGCTGCACAAATGTTTAGGTTACACGTCGGTCATGATGTTGCCGCACCCCCCTCCCCCCCCCATCACCACCACCACCAATACCGTCCTCACGACCACCACCATTACAACCACCACCATATCACAACCATCACCACCACCATGACCACCATCACCACCACCACCATCACCCTCGCGTTAGCGCTGCTTTACCAAGGCAGCCGAGACGGTTTCCGAGTCTCGCCAAACGGCTCCATCACCCTCCCCCTGGCCCCCCTCCAACTTCCCCCCCTCCCCTCCCCCCACCCTCCGCCGCACATCGCACACACAGACACACATCGCACACACACACACATCGCACACACACATCGCACACACACACATCGCACACACACACACATCGCACACACATCGCACACACACACACACATCGCACACACACACACATCGCACACACACACATCACACACACATCGCACACACACACACGCACATCGCACACACACAACGCACACACACATCACACACACACATCGCACACACACACACATCGTACACACACACATCACACACACACATCACACACACATCACACACACACACACATCGCGCACGTAGTAAAGCGTGCAATTAAATATCGCGACGCAAAGTTTTCAATCAGGCCCTCCCCGCGCGGGTCAATAGCCATAAGAGAGAGGCCTCCACCGAGCAAAGAAAATCAATGGTGCTATGACAGCTTTACTGCGGCGGCGAGCGCGCGCGCGGGCGGGCGGGCGGGCGGTCGTCTCCCTCCATTCCTCCTCCCGTTTTATTGAGGCCACCGAGCCGAGCGAAATGGCAGCAAGGGGCGGCTCCCGGCTCGCCGGCCGCGCCGCCACCGCCGATGGGATGTTTATTACTTGACTTTTTTTAGTCGTGGCGCACGCGCGCGGAGCGAGGTGTTTCCGCAACGCTCACACGACGGGACGAGCAAGGCGTGCGGTGGGGTGCAAGAGAGAGGGGCGGGGGGGGGGAGGCGGTGAGGGGGGTAGGAGGTGGGGGGGGGGGGAGGTGGATCCGCGTCTCGCTGGGGGAGCGACGTCCCGCTTTAAAATTCCGCGTGCTTAGATCGAGCGGCGGAAAAAGCCTCGCTCGCCGCGGCACAGCGACGCGGCCGCTCCTCGCTCGAGTTCCGCTCGCTCGTCGTCGCCGGTCAGGCGCAGGTGCAGCCCCTGCAATTTCCTACTCGCGCCCATGCAGGTGGAAGGGGCCTCCCGCTGGTGGGAGCTTGAGGACGGTATTCGGTTGCTTTTCCAATCACGCTGGCCGGGCTTGTTCGAAGAGGTGGGAGAACTTGGCCACGCTTTGCCTCACCGTACGTGACCTGCCGATCATAGACTAACTGTGGACAGGCTGGTGGGGGGCCGGTTGTGGGGGGGAGTGGTGTAAGACGGTGGTTTCTGGATTGCAAGTCCAGCGTGCGGATCCTTTCACCACTGGTAGCTCCCCTATTCATCGAACCGGGGATGTAAATCCCACTGAGACTGCGAGCCTCTTGTGCATGGCAGGCGTGGCTCAAACGCACACCCAAGGAGATGCCCGCCGCGGGAGATGGAGCGACTGACATTTAGGTCGCGTGCAAGTTGCGGGTGCTGGGTGGATCTTTGCATCGCGGGACCGTGAGGGAGGCCCTCATCCGGCAGTCGATTGAGCATGGCTGATGACGAGCTGGATCGATCCTTGAGCTAATTACGGTTTGTTTGGACACGAAAGGGGATTTGGTGGTTGGGCGGTTGAGATCAGGCAACCGCACCCCAACTCCAACCGCATCGACCTTTCCGACAAACACCAATGGCCATGCCCGAGAAACGGGAAAAAGAACACGTGGAGTAGTGAACGTACACAGGTGAGACAAGGTATCTCAACTGGTCCAAGGTCTCCCCTAGGTCGACTCAGCCTTAAGCAAATACCAGGTGCAGTGCGTCAAACTGGGCAGACAGATGCGACCGGCCAGGCACCGTGCTGTCCTTCGCAGGCGTTCGCTAACAGCACTTTGCCCCGACAGCCTGTTCAGGCTGCACAGGGGATCTTTATCTTTGTGTGCGTGTGGATAACCATCGCCGCCCCCCACTCATCACCCCCCTCTTCCGACAACCGCACCGCCGCAAGACCTCTAACCCCCCCCCCTCCCCCACCGCGTTGCTCCCAACCCCCGTGTACCCACGCCGTGCCTCACCGCCAGCTCTGGTCCGCGTGCTGGCGCTGCGATTGGAGGACAGCCGCTGGGAGGTACGCGACTCGTCGCTGGAATTCCTGGCGGCCGGGGTCTCGGCGAGTCCCCGCGGTAAGGCCCCCCTCCCCTCCGGCGCGCATCCGCCACCGTCCGCTCAACGCGCGGCTCAGCGAGTGCGAGCGAGCGAATGAGCAAGCGAGTGGGGTAGTGTACGAGTAGGTGGATAGGTGTGTGAGTGAGGGATGTAGTAAGTGGGTGGGTGAGTGAGGGAGTGAATGAGTTGTTGGGTGAGTGAGGGAGGAAGTGAATGAGTGGGTTGGTAGGTGGGTGAGTGAGGGGTGTAGTGAATGAGTTGGTGAGTGGATGCTTGAGTGGGTGAGTGAGGGAGGCAGTGCATTGGTGGGTGGGTAAGCAAGTGGATGAGTGAGTGCATGAATGAGGGATGCAATTAGTGGGTGAGAGCAGCTGAGTGAAAGAGCGAGTGCACTGTGGTGACATCGCTGGCCCTTAGCGGTGAACCCGGCGACACCTCAGTTCGATTTCTGGCCACGGGAAAACATCGGTGGCGAGCGACATCCGCACCGGTCTGGGGCCTCCACCTAGGTTAACCTAGCCTTGAACGAGCACCCGGCGCAGCTTGCAAACAGCAGCACCGGGGAGACAAAGCCGGCCGGGCGTGGTTCTGGCCACGCACAACCCCATCGTACTGCACGTCGGCCTGAACAGGTGCTCGCTAACAGCACTTGCCCCATCTGTCTGTACAGCTATAGGGGTAGGGGGGGAATCGTTGTCTCCGTGTGTGTGCAAACGCCCACGCGTGTGCGTGTGTGTGCGTACGTGTGGGGTGAGTGTATGCGGCGTCCGCCCGTGCTCATTGGCCGATCTCTCGCATTGTCCGCACAGGAGCGGTTCAATAAATCACGCTGTTTATCACCGCGGGGCGCTAGCTGCTGCTGCTGCTGACGCCGCAACTCTCGCCAACGCCCACCAGGGTCCAGCGGTCACCAACTCACACCCCCTGCCCCCCCCCCATTCCCCCCCCGCCCCACAACACATCTCCTCCGCCCTACCCCCAAATCCCATCCTTCCCCACGCCACCGCCTCGCCTCTCCCCCGCAGCAGCAGCAGCAGCACCGGGGTCGGCGTTGGCGCCGTGGCTGGCGCGGCACGGGCTGCACGCCGGCGCCGCGTGGCACCGGCTGTCGGACGCGCAGGCCTACGTGCGCGCGAGCGCCGTCGTGGCGCTGGGGGCGATGGCGCTGGGTGGCGACGGCGCCGCTTGGGCCCGCGCTCTGGCCGCCCTTCACCTGACGGAGGTGAACGACGCTCGCACAGCACCCCCCCCCCCCCCAGACCGCTCCCCTCCCCCTCCCCCCCCGCCCGCACGCCCCCACTCTCCTTCGACGGTCGCCACGGCGACACGCCGCATTCATCACCGCGCTGTTTTTCGCTTGTTTATTTATTTAGTTGTTGTTGGTTTTGACCCCGGCTCCCGCGGCAGGGCGAGCGGCCGGCAAATCGGTAGGTCGAGGGTTCAATTCTAGTTGGGCTGGGTTGACTCGGGTGTGGGCAGTCATTGGGTGACTGGCCCATGGTTGGCAATTCCGCAGCAGTTGAGAGGCAGGGTTCCCACAGACAGGGCCCGTCCGTAGGGGGGCTGGGGGGGGGGCGGTATTGCGGATACCGGGGCAAATCCCACTGTGTGGGCCCCCCCCCCCACCGCCTTCAAACGTAACCGGAAGTATTACATCTGACACCGTGACGCCGAAGTGCGGGCCCCCCCCGACCCCAAAACGCGGGGCCCGGGGCGGTCGCCCCGATTCGCCATCTACCCCTGGCCCACAGAGGGAGGAGCGTGGCTCGTGGTGGTGGTGGTGGCGCCTTGAGACATGAGTGGAAGGCGCCTTACAAATAAATGTCAATTATTATTATTATTATCATCACTATACATTGAGCCTGGATAGCGGTGCTTGGATGCGTGTGCCTTCCACGGGGCATACCACTCGGCCGCCGTTGGCCGCTTCGGGGCTACATTGTTGGCTTGCGCTCCTCGCGACCGTCTCCGCAGGACGACGTCCTCGGCCGCTTGTGCGACATCCTCTCCGGCGACGCCGAGTGCTTCCCGCGCCGCGCCGCCTGCCGGGTCCTCACCGCGTGCCTGCGCGCCGGCGGCTCGCTGCGGGCGCCGCTGCTGGCGCTGGCCTCGGCCCCGCCAGCGCGTGCGGGCCCCGCCGGCGCCGCCCTGCGCGCCGCCGCCCGCGACCCCGACTGGGAGGTCAAGGTGAACGCGCTGGAGTTCTGGGAGGCGGCGGCCACGCTGCTGGCGCGCGAGCCGGTCGGTTCGGCCGGTCCGGCGGCGGGCGGACCTGCGCCGGCGCTGGCGGTGCTGGTGGCGGCCTTACGCGATTGCGACCGGCCGGCCGCCAGCAAGGCCTGCGCGGCGCTCATGGCGCTGGCCGACGCCGGCGTCGCGCCGGCTCGGGGGGGAGCCGGCGGGGACGCAGACGACGAAGGGGACGCGTCGGCGGACGTGACGGACGACCTGCGCCGGCTGGACCTGCCGGCGCTGCGCGACGAGCTGGAGAGGCGCAGCGACTACGTGCAGAGCGGCCCGGCCTCGCTGCTGCGAGACATCCTTGCCTCGAGCGACAGCGCCCTGCTCGACGGCGCCGACTGCTACTGAGCGAGGCGGCAGCGACGTCGGTTCGTCGCTTCTCAAATCGATCCTCGCGCTTGCGCCCTGCGCGCATCGGATCGGATCTTGCGGCGTGTTGAGAAAAGTTTTTTAGCGATTTGCGTGTCGGTTTGCGTATTTGCGTCTGTTATTCGGTGGTTCTGGTTTAGCGGCGATAGCGCTGGGGAGAAGCGTGTGTACTTGCGTATGGCGCAGCCGGTCTTGGGTTGGGCTACGAACCTGGCGACCCGGGTTCGATACCCGCTCACGGCCAACACCGGTGACGATTATCTGAATCGGTTCTGGTCCTCCCCTAGGTTGACTCAGCCTCAAATGAGTACCCGGTGCGGTGTGTAAACATCGCCGCTGGGGAGACAAAGGCGGAGGGGCTTGGTGCTGGCCACCCACCCCCTCGTGTGCAGTGTCAGCCTTCATAGGTGCTTGCTAACAGCACTTTCCTCAACGGTCTGTTAAGGCTATATGGGGGTCTTTGTGCGTTTTTGTGCATGTACGTGTTGCCGTCTCCCAGTTTTTCACGAATAAATTATTTTTGTCAACTGCACTGTTGAGTGTGTGGTGCAACGGCTGCCATTCGCCGCTAAGTGGCGGCTACATCGCAGCGCTTGTGCCAGGCTAGGTGCACTGAGTCCACACGAAGTGTCGATGGCTCGCTGGCAGGAGGTCACGGGACAGACCCAGGTGTCATGGGTTGACTGACTACGATAACTGACAAATGCATCACCTGTGCTCCCCACTGCACTTTTGCTGCCTGGCGCTCCACTCGTTTTTGTGAACGTTGCTTGTCTGCCGTCCGTTGTTGGAGGGCGACTGCCTCCAACTGGCCACTAGCGTCCTTCACGAGCCTCCTCCATCGAGGCCGACCTTAACACCGCTGAGACCAGCCTTCGGCAAGTCCACTCAGCTCCACATCATCTTGTACCGCATCAGCCCATCTCTTTTCCAGCCCGTGTCGTGCCCGTTTAGCCTCATCCAGCCAAACAGAAACTGCTTGGGCATGCGGGGGCTGGGCATGCGGGCTGCATGACCCAGCGAACGCACAGGCTGCACACAACATTCGCATTCCACGGTGCAGCATGTTGCCAATCGAGACATGTTTAGCAATCATCAGGTACGAGCAGCAAGATCGCTCAGCGTGGAGCATGCTGTGCGCTAGAGCGAGGGAAGGAGGTCGATTGGCTGTGGCTCATTGCCTGTTTACAGGCCTGAGCCAGTGGTGGAAATTCCCCATTCCTCTGGCCGGAGAAAACCCCACCACACAATATTTCCGCGATCCAGCAACCCTCGCCTGCTGGATCACAGCCGCACCGTGTTGCGCTCCTTTTAGCTGAACCGCCCGTGCGAGGCTACGTTGCGAGGAATCGTGGGCCGGAGTGGATCCAATTCGGTGCCACAGTGGTTCATGAGATGTTAACTACCTCGCCTGGTATGCAGGAGGTTGTTGGTTCAATCCCGACCCTGCCGCCTGCTGTGTATTTGGAGTTTGCGTGTCTCTTCTCGCGGTCGTGGAGATTTTTCTCCGGGTTCTCCGGTTTTTCCTTCCACATTTAGAATCAACATCACGCGTTTAGAGTTCTTGGCTGCTATCATTTTCCTGTTGATAAGCCACTTCGTTGAGTTATCATTTGTGGCCAGGTCGCTTCTGAAAAGGAGCTACAATCGCTCAGTGGGCCTTACCTGGTAAAATAAACAATTCTTCTTGGTTCTTTCAATTGTAATTTTCTTTCAATTGTAAATACAATTGTATTTTATTATGTTAAATTTTTATTATTTTATTATTTCCCTTCTAAGTGACTTTACCGAAAGAACCAAGAAGATGAATCCCTGCAGTCACGAAAGCAGTCACGAAAGCTTTAAATCGAAAAATAAACAATTGTTTATAGTTTTATATCGTACATGGAAGAAGAGAATAAACTAGCAACCTCGGTTCGATTCTCCGGCTCTCCTATATTAACATCAATATCAGTGTCGAGTGATATCTGAACTGGTACTCCCCCCCCCCGCTCCACCGTTTTAACCAACCCGAACTTGACCAGACTGGTGAAGTATGGTGAAAACAACGCGAAATATCGACACAGCCTGGACAAGAACAAAAACATTTTCCTCCCACCCCTTGACTCCCCCCTGCCACCAATGTTCCATTTTCTTGCATCTATTGCGGACAGCACTGCCCCCCCCCCCCCGTTTCTGGGGGGGGTGGTCTTTGTGGTTAATTAAGGACATCATAGCCCTTCCTAATTGTGTGGAAGAGAGAAGCCAGCCGAAGGAAAGATGTGGGTGGGGGGCGATGGGGTGGGGGTGGGTGGGGGGTGGTGGTGGGGGTGGTTGTGGGGGGCTGTGTTGTGGCCAGGGGCAGAGATGGGGGGGGGGGGTAGTGGTTGCCGAGTCAGCGATCCCATGCAGAGCCCCGACAGCGGCTGTAATTGCTTGCGTTCGTTGTTGATGTTCGCGTTGTTGGTGGTGGTGTGGCTGATGGTGGTGTTGTTGTTGGTGGTGTGGTTATTGGTGTGGCTGGTTGTGGTGTTGTTGGTGGTGTGGTGGCTGATGGTGGTGTTGTTGTTGGTGGTGTGGTGGCTGGTTGTGGTGTTGTTGGTGGTGTGGTGGCTGATGGTGGTGTTGTTGGTGGTGTGGTGGCTGGTTGTGGTGTTGTTGGTGGTGTGGTGGCTGATGGTGGTGTTGTTGTTGGTGGTGTGGTGGCTGATGGTGGTGTTGTTGGTGGTGTGGTGGCTGATGATGGTGGTGTTGGTGTGGTGGCTGATGGTGGTGTTGTTGTTGGTGGTGTGGTGGCTGATGATGGTGGTGATGGTGGTGTTGGTGGTGTGGTGGCTGATGGTGGTGTTGTTTTTGGTGGTGTGGTGGCTGATGGTGGTGTGGTTGTTGCTGTGGCAGATGGCGGTGTGCTTGGTGATGGTGGTGCGGTTGTTGGTGTGGCTGGCGGTGGGGTGGTTGTTGGTGGTCGCAAGGTTGTCGTTCCCGCTAACAGCCAACCGACATCCATGATGAATATCTGAACCGGTTCTGTACCTACCTCTAGTTCGACTCGGCCTTAAACAAATTTAATACCCGGCGCTCCGTGTAAACATCAGCACTGGGAAGACAAAGGCGGTCAGAGGCGTGGTGCTGTTTGCCCATCCATCATCGTCGCGCGCCGTGCCATCTTCAATAGGCGCTCGCTGATGGCACTTGCCCCACCATCCCTGCGTGGGCTACACGGGTCAACTTTGCCTTTCGTGTAAAAAAAACTCGACGGCGTTCAAGTTGCGCGCGCGTCCAGGCGGGCCCGCATTAGGAAACTGCTTCACGTTCCGGGCACTCGGCTATCGATCCACGTCTGATCAGAAATCGGTGAGTAATTAAAGGAGCCAATCCCATTAATGGGTCCCGAGCTCTGGCAATAGCACAATTAATCAAGGCGATGGAGGAAGGGGATGCACGCGTGTTGTTGTTTGCATGCGCGCGGGGTCCACACGGGGCCTGGGACACGCGACTCACGTGACACATTCAGCAGCGACAACTATGCGTGTACGTTGAACTTCTTTTGCACCGTACGTAGCCAAACGTGCTAATCGGAGGTACAGTGTTGAGTCCATGGGCGGTGTTAGTCTGTGAGTGGTGTTAGTCTATGGGGCAGTACATATGCACGTTCAACTACGTTCGCACCGTACGTAGCCAAGCGTGCTAATCGGAGGTGCAGTGTTGAGTCCATGGGCAGTGTTGAGTCTGTGAGTGGTGTTAGTCTATGGGGCAGTACATATGCACGTTGAACTACGTTCGCACCGTACGTAGCCAAGCGTGCTAATCGGAGGTTCAGTGTTGAGTCCATGGGCGGTGTTAGTCTGTGAGTGGTGTTAGTCTATGGGGCAGTACATATGCACGTTGAACTACGTTCGCACCGTACGTAGCCAAGCGTGCTAATCGGAGGTTCAGTGTTGAGTCCATGGGCGGTGTTAGTCTGTGAGTGGTGTTAGTCTATGGGGCAGTACATATGCACGTTGAACTTCGTTCGCACCGTACGTAGCCAACAGTGCGAAGATCCCCGTGCATTCCTTTCACCGGTTGTCGGGGCCAAGGGCTGTTCGCGAGCATCGATTATTGAAGGCCGGAACCGCGCACCTATAAGGAGTGGGGGGGGGGGGGTGTGGCCAGCACCACACCGGGCCGCCTTTGTCTCCCCAGGACCAACGTTTTGTAACACACCGTACCTAGTGGGGGGCGGTGGGATGCCCAGGACTGGTTCGGATATTCGTCACCGTCCGTGAGCGGGAATCGAACTCTGCTGGTTGCTTGGGGTGCGTAGCGCATTGCGCTAACCACTGCCCCACCGCTCCACCCGCACAAGAAAAAGATCCCCCGTATAGCCTTAACAGACTGTTGGGGCAGGTGCTATTAGCGAGCATCTATGAAGGCTGACACGGCATACGAGAAGGTGGGTGGCCAGCCCCACGCCCGGCCGCCTTTGCCCAGTGGCGATGTTTACACACCGCACCAGGTATTCCTTTGAGACTGAGTCAATCTAGGGGAGGTCCAGGACCGGTTTAGATAACCGTCACTGGGGTTGGCCGTGAGCGGGAATCGAACTCGGGTGGCCAGGTTCATAGTACAAGCACGTTAGTACGCACACACAGGCTGAAGCACACACACAGGCTGACACACACACAGGCTGACACACAGGCTGACATACACACAGACTGACACACACAGGGTGACACACACAGGGTGACACAGGGTGACACACACAGACACACAGGCTGACACAGACACAGGCTGACGCACACACACGCACAGGGTGACACGCACAGGCTGACGCACACACACGGGCTGAAGCACACACGCACAGGGTGACGCACACAGACACACAGGCTGACACACACGCACAGGGTGTATGCTTTGCGTGTTGAGAAGTAAACACTGAACGTGGCGATCAAGTGAACTCGTGCACGGTTCCAAGAGCTCTAACGCGAAATCGATTTTCAATCACAGGATTTCACTCTGTAATAAAAGGCAACTATTATTATTTTTAGTATATCCGTCAGTCAAGCTGCCCCGCAGTCCATTCATCCTCCTGTCTGCCTATCTGTCTATTGCGTTGCCTGTGTGACCGTTCGTTTTCCCTGCCCGTCTGTCTCTCCATCCATGTGCATGTCCGTCTGTGCCTATCTATCTTTCCGTCTGCATATTTGTCCGTCCGTCTGTCCATCGATCGATCTGTCCGTCCGCCTGTATGTACGTCTGCCTGTCTGTCTCTCCGTCCTGTCTGTCTGTCTGCCCGTATGAGCGTGTCTCTGTCCCTCTGTCTTTCTATTGTGTTCGCCCCTCTAATCCGTCTGCATGTTTGCCCATGCAGACGTCCGTCCCGCTCTCTAAATCGCCTTGCCGTGACCACACGCGCATCGCGCACTGGGTGCAGCAACAACAATAAAACAACAACAAAATAAAACACATTCCTGCAGAGGGAGCTGGTAGGAACGTTGGATTGCTCGGTCAATGGCCAGGGTCAACGGCGGCGTGGTGTATTCCGCAAATATGCCCGACTGTGAGGGCGGGCACAAGCCGGCGTGAGTAGGTTAAACGTTGAGTTTTATAAGGGCACCACGGGGTGACCAGCCCCTCCCCACCCAGCCCCACCCCTCCCACCCCCCACCCAGCCCCTCCCCACCCAGCCCCTCCCCACCCAGCCCCTCCCCACCCAGCCCCTCCCCACCCTCCCCTCCCAGCCCCTCCCTGCACGACGGACGGACACAATAATCCCCTGTCGGCTGGTGTAACCAGGAAGTTCCTACCAGTAACAACAACCCTCACCGCCTAAATTTACTGGATACAGTAAATTAGCTGTGCCGGTCCCACCTGATGACGGAGAGTTGTGTTGCCTCCGAAACGTCGTGATTTATTATTTTATTTCTATCATTATTTCTATTATGTTTATGTTTTATTTTTACCTACGGGACTTTACGGAAAAAACCTACGAGTATAACAGAGAGTGGCTCTTCATCTGATCAAAATAATGAAGGGGCGTGATAGTAAGATGTGGGAAGCTGTAAGTCCCAGGCTACTCTGGGCTCGGCTTCCCCATCAACGGGAGGCGAGGAATGGTGGTGGTTGTTTACGCTCCACCGAAGATGAACATCAGTAGAGGGATACAGGCAATGCCAAAGGAGTCGGACGCTTTCTATGACCTCCTTTCACATGTGCTAGTATGTATGTTGAAACTCCCCAGAGACCCTCGCTGACGGAGGAGGTGTTCCGGCTGGCTGAGAAAAAGCGACAGTCCCACTCTCACAGTCTGCAGTGTCCCACGTCGGAGAATGAGGAGGCTTACCGCAGCCTTCGCTCGGAGGTTCGGAGACCCGTGTGGCGCTGCAAGGATGGGTGGTGGTTACGGGTTGCTGAGGAGATGGAATCCGCCTCGGTAACCTGTGACCACAAGTCACTCTTTAATTCAATCAACATATTAACTTGCTGCTCCATACCTATCACCATCCTTCGGGGAAAGAACGGTTTATCCGATCTCCCAACTCCGAGGAACAGGTTTTCAGGTTTGCTAAGCATTATTGTGAGGTCTTGGGGGAGGGCAAATCCCTCAGCCGAGATAACATTACGAGTCAAGTTGGGAATGACGCTGCTGGGGCTGCCGTTGAGGAAGTACGGAAGGCGATCCAGAGCGAACTGCAGAGGGAGGGTGGCGTTTATGTGCAGACTGTCCTTAATTACATCATTACAACAATCTGGGCCACTGGACGGGTTCCGCAAGGATTTGAAGGATGTCCTGGTTGGTCCCTCTCTTTACGAAGGGGGATCACACAGATCGTAACACCTTCAGGGGTATCTCCCTCCTCGGTGTGCCTGGAAAGGTCCTGGCAAGGATTATGCCAACATCGCCTTGCCAGGCACGCTGAGGAGAGGCTTGCCAGTGATGTCAGCCAGTCAACCCATGGCACCTGGGTCTGTCCCGTGACCTCCTGCCAGTAGCGATCCTTCGACACGTGGACTTCACGTGATGGTCTCAAAGTGCACACAGCCTGACACAAACGCCGTGGTGACGTCACAGGCACCGTGGAGGTGACGTCAAATGGCGAATGGCGGTTGTTGTTGTACAAGCAAGAGCATCGGCATTATGTTCATCAGCAGCAGCAGCAGTGTTAGCAGCTTCAGCAGTAGCAGCATCAGTCGCCTGTATTTATGTTGAACTTCTTTCGCACCGTACCTAGCCAGCAGCAGCAGCAGGAGAAGGGCGCGCGTGGTGATTGGAGGTGGCATCCGGGTTCCCCGTGACTCCGAGAGCGGGGGGCGGTGAGGGGATCACGTGCCCGGGGCGATTCCCGTCGGACCCCACGGGACGCGACCGCTATTACTGGGCGCGGGACCCCTTCTCCACACCCCAGGATGTGCATCGATCCGAGAGAAAGCCTGGGGAGAGCCTGGGGAGAGCAGGGAGAGCGAGGGGAACGAATTGGTGGGAGAGCGTTGGGAGAGCGGGGCGAGTTTGGAGAGCGAGACGGGGATGCGAGGAGAGAGAATGTGGGGATGGAGTTTGGGGGGTAACGTTGGTGAGGAGTGGGGGAGAGGGAGGACCGAGGGGGAAAGCCTGCGGAGAGCGAGGGGGAGAGATGGGGTTGAAGGATCAGGAGAAGATGGGTGTAGGTCGGGGAGGGGGTTGAGTGGGATAGACCGTCAAAGCTGCGGCAAAGGAGTGAAGGCAGAGACGAGGGAGGTGGTGAATTATAACCCCCCCCCCCCAACGCCCCCCACCGCCCCCCACACTTTTAGCTCAATGCTCGAACAACAGAATCCGAGTCTGCGTGAGGATAGCAGTGGGCTGTTGGCGAGTGATGGTGAGTGGGTTATAGGTTGGAGGGTTAGGTAGGGGAGATGGCGGGGGGGACGGTGGGGAAGAGGGCAGGGGGGGGGGACGGAGACTCGGGGGTAGAAGGACACGGCGAGGAGGCTGGAGGTAGTCCGCGAGTACTCGACTCGAGTACGCGCGCGAGGTGCCACTCCGCGCCAATCAAAGTTCGCCCGCGGCTTTCAGGTGTGAGTTTGAAAACATTTGGGAGGAAGATTTTTTTGGGCCTCTTCCCCCACCCCCGCCCTCCGCATCTTTTCGCGTCCGCATCCGCCGATGCCTGGAGACGAGAACGACGACGACGAGGAGGAGGATGAGGAGGGGGGGGGGAGGAGGAGGAGGTCTCGCTGAATATTTAATCGCGAGCCCGGATCGAAGCGGCGCACGCGTTTGATTCATTATTGAGACAGCGCCGCCAGCGTGCACAACAACCACCGCTGCCGCTTGTACCACGAACACGCCGACCGGTTTGTTATCCCATTTCGCCCTCTCCCGCTATCTCGCTCACTCTCTCTCTCTCGTTCGCTCGCTCGCTCCTGGGTGCCGCGATGGCTGGATGTTAACCACCTCGCCTGGTATACAGGAGATCGCGGCTTTGATCCCGATCCTGAAGCCTGTATATTTTGAGTCTGCGTTTCTCTCTCTCTCTCTCTCACTCTCTCCCCGTGGTCGCGTGGATTTTTTCCCTGGGTCCGTATTCCCCCTCCACGTTTAGAATCAACGTCGCGTTTGGAGTTATTTGGCTGCTATACATTTCCACACGATGAGACGCTTCGTTGAGCTGTCATTTGTGGTCAGGTCGCTTCTGAAAAATAGACATGTAGCACAGTTGGCCTTACCTGGTGAAATAAAAATATAGTTTAGTAAAGTTGACTCCGTCTCTTCTACCACCACCCCACTACTTCTCCCACTTTGGTCTTTCACGTCTCACTCCACGAGCAACTCACTCACTCTCCCCATCTCCCATCAGTCCGCTCCTAGACTCACTCACTCTCTCCATCTCCCATCAGTTGACTCCTAAACTCCGCCTCTCAATCAGAGCCACTCCTCTCTCTCTCCATTTCTCTCAGTAGCGGAACGAGCGTGAGGGGGGGCAAAGGGTGCCTTGCCCCCCCCCACAGACGGCCAAAGATACGAGTTGGGACCCTTCTTGACAACCGCCACGAAATATGTTTTCCGAACATAGGTGGACTCGTCCGTCTGGCAAACTGCCAAATCCGCTGTCCGTGGTGCTGACGTTAGGAAAAACCGCAACTTTTTTCAAATTGTCTTGCTGTGGATTTCACACCTGATGACGATTGCTTGTGTTGCGGTCGAAACGTCGTGATAATTTTTATTGTTTAATATTTATATTATTTTATTATTTCCCTTCTACGTGACTTTACCGAAAGAACCAAGAATATAGTGTTAGACCAGGGAACGCTAAAAGGCGAACAGGACAAGGACAATACCACGATCAGGACATTGAGAGCTCGGGGTGGGCAGCTACGTCATGGGACCTCCCTTGCCAAACATGCCAACACGACCCACTTCTCGCTCTCCCTGCTCCTTCTCCATCCCTTGCCCTGGACCTCCACTGCTCTACCTCTCTCCACTCCTCCTCTCCCTTGTCTTCGTCCCTCCCTTCGTCCACTCTCTCCATCTTTCTCTCGCGCACCATGACGAGGACAGAGGGGGGGTGGTCACGAAGCCTCATTACTAATTATGACCCCTCTAAACCAAGCCATGACAACCTTGACCCTAAGGGATTTAAAGGTCGAGGGGGCAAAATGTCGCGGTTGGGGGCGAGGGATGGGGGGCGGGGTGAGTGGGAGGTGGGGGGGGGGACACTGACCCGCACTGGACTCGAGACCGTGTACGGGTCAAGGTCACGAGGTCACGGTCTAGTTCGTGTGGCTCGCGGCGAGACCAGAGGTCACTTTTGCAAGAGAGGCAGAGCTGGGATTATAAAGGCAGAGCAAATACAAGAGCAACAGCTCGCTACACAATGACAAAGATGTCCCGTATAGCCTTGAACAGATTTTGAGGGCAAGTGCTGTGAGCGAGTAGCTTGCACTCATGACGCACAAAGTGCTCGCCACAAATGAACCACGATACTTCGCTGATCTCGTCAAAGAGCATCAACCATCAGCACGCGAACTCCGGGCACCATCGCAGTAGCGGCTTTTGGCTGCCGGCCATCGAACGCAGACGGCGGTTCACCGCATCGCGCTGCGCTTTCGGATGCGCTTCTGCGGCCGTCTGGAACGCTCTTCTCGTCTGATATTAGGAAGCCACTGGAGGTTTGCACTTTAAATCTAAATTGTGAACGAATTTCTTCGGAACCGATTTTTGTGCTTGGTTTGTTGTCCTTCCCCCGCACCTCCGATTAGCGCGTCTGGCTACGTACGGGGTGAAAGCAGTTGAACATACATACTTCAACGTCAGAACAGCACTATGCCCGGCCGCCTTTGTCACCCTAGTGGCGATGTTGACACATCACACCAGCAACTCATTTGAGGCTGAGTCGACCTAGGGGATGTCCAGGACCGGTTCAGATAATCGTCACTGGTGTTGGCTGTGAGCGGGAATCAAACTCGGGTTGCCGAGTTCGTAGCGCAGCGCCCTGACCCACTGCACTACCGCACACACACACACAGTCTCACACACAGTCTCACACACACACAGTCTCACACACACAGTCTCACACACACACACACAGTCTCACACACACAATCTCACACACACATTCTCACACACAGTCTCACACACACACACACAGTCTCACTCACACACACTCACATACACAGTCTCACACACACACTCGCACACACTCGCACACACACTCACACACACTCCCACACACACTCACACACAGTCTCGCACACACACTCACATACACAGTCTCACACACACCCTCGCACACACTTGCACACTCACACACACTCGCACACACACACTCACACACACACTCACACACACACTCGCACACACACTCGCACACACTCTCACACACACTCGCACACACACTCGCACACACAGTCTCACAAACACTCGCACACACACGCGCACATACAAACACACACACACTCACACACAATCTCGCACACACAGTCTCACACACACACTCACACACACTCGCACAAACACTCGCACACACTCGCACACACTCGCACGCGGGACATTGGTTCCCGTAATAAACCTCTTTTCATCGCGCTTAACGACCCATTAAAATCAAAATAGAGGCATCGCGTAACGCGCTGCCTTGGGAATCGAGCCAAGACTTCCCCCCCTCGTCGGCTGGAGTGCTCCTCGCACGCTCGCACACAAAGCCAGAGACAGCCGCAGTGTCGCGTTAACAGGCCGCGCGGCGAAAGTGCTTCTCGAAGAGCGCCTACGGAGAACAATCCACGCGCGGCCGCCTTTGTCTCTCCGGTGCCGATGTATACGTGTCGCACCAGCTGCTCGTTTTTTTTGTTTTTAGGCCGAGTCTACCTACGGGGAAGCACAGCAACCGGTTCAGATATGTGCAACGTCCGTCTGCGCTGTGGGTGACAGTGGTCAGTGGTGGGCGTAGGGGAACGCTGCGCTACGAACCCGGCGACCCGTGTTCGATTCCCGCTCACGGCCACCAACAGTGGCGATTATCTGAACCGGTGCTGGGCTTCGTCTAGGTCGACTTGGGCGTGGTTCCAGCCACACCACCACCCGGTGTCTTTAGTGGCCACCGCTCTGCATTATGAACCCGGCGACCCGAGTTCGATTCCCGCTCACGGCCACCACCAGTGGCGAGTGATTGAACCGGTCCTGGCCAAAAGCGAGTAGCTTGTGCGGTATCTAAAACACTAGCAGCACTGGAGAGACAAAGGCGGCCGGGCGTGGTATTATCTAGCCCCGCCACTTCCGCGTGCCGCTAACAGCACTTGCCCCAACAGTCCGTTAAAGGCTATCCGGGGGACTTTTATCTACGTGTCTCTGAGTGCGCGCGTGTTATGAGAGGTGGTAGCTTCGGGGGGAGAAAGGAGGTTGGGGAGGGAGCAGATAGTGAATTCGTGGACTCCCTCCGCCCTGACGGACAGGATCGGCTTTAGCCGACACCTCAAAGTAAGTGGCCTCCTTTGATGGTTTCACATAAATAAATCATCAAACAATAACCAATCAATCAACCCGTAAACCCACGGTATACGTCACCGTGGCGCGGCCCCTTATGTCACATTAGTTAATCTATACACACGCGAACACACGCGCGCTAACACACTCGGGAACACGCACACACACACACACGAGCAAACATAAGCAAATAATCTAAGATTTTCCTCGTGCAGCCTGAATAGATTTGAAGCTTTCGTGACTGCAAGGATTCATACTCCTAGGTTTTTCGGTAAAGTCACTAGGTAAAAAAAATGTGACGGTCCCACCTGATGACGGAGACTTGTGTTGCCTCCGAAACGTCGTGATTTATTATTTTATTTCTATTATTTCTATTATTTATTATTATTATTATTTTTACTTGTCTCCCATTTTTACACTCGGCAACTAGGCACTCATTTGAGACTGAGTCGACCACATTGACACAGCACAGCACACGATGAGGTGGGTGACCAACACCACATCCGGCCGCCTTTGTCTCCCTCGTGGCGATGTTAGCTCGCAATGTATCGAACCAGGCGACTCGAGTTCGATTCCCGTTCACGGCCAACACCAGTGACGATTATCTGAATCGGGCCTGGGCCTCCTCTAAGTCGACTCAGCCTCAAATTAGTAGCTGATGCGGTGTGGGGATACAAAAGCGGTTGGACGTGGTGCTGGGCACCCACTTTCAAGTGTACCGTTCCAGCCTTCATAGGTGTTACTCGCTAACAGCACTTGCCCCAACAGTCTATTAAAGGCTATATGGGGGTCTTTGACACTTTGACACACACACATAAATACACGAACACATGCGTACCCCTAACGACTGCCATTGAAGGACATCTCAAACTCAACGAGATAGCCGAGTCAATGGAACGACCCTTCATCGGGAATCTCCATTCAACCTGGGTGCTCACCGATGAGAGACCGCACGAGCCGTTGAGACCAGAGCGTTACACATTTCACAGCCCGCTGTGTGTATGTATGTCAAACTTCTTTTGCACCGTACATATCCAGTCGCGCTAATCGGAGGTGTGGGGGAAGGACAACAAACTAAACACAACAAAAGCAGTTTTTTTAAAAAAATCGAGATGATTCAACAGAAAGTGTATAACTCGAGTGGCTTCCTAACAGAGCGTTCCAGACGGCCGCTGCTGCCGTCTTTGTTCAATGGGCAGCCAAAAGCCGCCGCTGCTGCTACTGGGAGGATGACTACCGGAGTTCGCGTGGTGATGGTCTACTCTCCTTGACGAGATCTCCCCACACAGGGCCCCCTAAGACCGACATAAGTCCCCCCTTCAAATCTGTCTACACGAGGCTCCCCGAGGGCTGAGTTAACGAGCCCACCCCCCAACCCCCCACCCGCCCTAAGGGCGGGATAGTCAGCCCCCTCCCCCCCAGGGTCGAGTCCAATGAGGCCCCCTCGACAGGGTTAACAAGACTCCTCCAGGGCATCGTTGTTCACGATGTGAGCGAGCTCCTCATTAGTCATTGGCCGCCAGGGTGGAGTGACCCTTGACCTGACCGGAGGCTCCCATCCAGTGGCTCCAACCAAGCGCTCCACCTTTGTCAGGAGTCGAACTTAGGCTGGCGGCTAAGTGGCTATGTCCTCGCCTCTGGATTTGACAGCACGTGCGCGCTTTTACCGGCAGCGTGGGTTTGGCCTTGATCGTCATCATTATAATTATCATCAGCCATGATCTATCCGCTGCTGGTGCTTGAATGCCGCTCGGATTCGTCGCTGTCTCTCCTCTCTCTCTCCCTCTTTTTTTACGATCAAAGGAAACAAGAAGATGCTCAGTGTAGTCGGCACTTTGCTTCGTTCATCATTTCGTTTTATTTCAATGCTTTTCTCTATGTGCCCCCCCCCCCCCCCCATTTTTAAATGAAATATTTCACAAAATATTTAACGCTCTGCTCTCCTCCTTCTTACCCCTTCCCTCTCTCTCTCTACATCCTCTCTCTCTCTACCCCCTTTTTCTCTACACTCTCTCTCTCTACCCCCTCTCTCTGTACCCCCTCTCTCTCTACCCACTCTCTCTGTACCCCCTCTCTCTCTCTACCCCCTTTCTCTCTACACTCTATCTCTACCCCTCTCTCTACCCCTCTCTACCCACTCTCTCTGTACCCCCTCTCTCTCTACCCACTCTCTCTGTACCCCCTCTCTCTCTCTTCCCCTCTCTCTCTACCCCTCTCTCTCTACCCCCCCCCCCCTCTTCCTCTACCCCCCCTCTCTCTCTACCCACTCTCTCTGTACCCCCCCTCTCTCTACCCCCTCTCTCTCTCTCCCCATGTCCCCCCTGTTTTCTATGTAATATTGTTTTTACGACAAGCGCTGCATCTGCACCCAGCCCTTCTCGCAGTCCTACGGCCTCCGACGGTAGCTCATATCTGCATGCAGAGCTCCCCGTCTCTCTCTCTTTCTCTCACGGTCCTGCGATGTGGCATTCCAGCACGGCACCTCGTGCACACGCGAGCTGAGTAAACGAGTTAACGTCTCCGCGCCAGGCTGTCCCGTCGAGGGATGTGTGTTTTTGCTTCTTTGGCAGCCAACTCCGACCACAGAGCCGTCATGCGCCTGCCCAGTTGCCCCGGCGGAACGTAACAAGTCGGCGTGGCGTCTCTAGAGCTTGCGCGTGCGTCCTCAAATCCCGCGTGTTCCCCTTCACGTCTCTCGGTTTCAGTCCAAAGCACGCGTCTCTCTTTCACTCTCCTTGCTTCTTTGCGCACTTTTTGAGCACTCAATTTCTCGCACAATTTAGAAAAAATATCTCTCTCTTTCTCTCTCTCACATTTATATTCCAATCGAGACAGTGACGCCTGATCTCTCTCGCCTCCGACAGCGCACCGTGAGAACAGCTCTGGAAGATGACGCTGCATATAACTGCCTCTGAAAGTCACTTTATTGGGGCACGTTTATCCAAAACTAACGACAACCATATTTGTGGTTCTTTCGGTAAAGTCACATAGAAGGGAAATAATAAAATAAGAAAACCAAGAATACTAATCCCTGCAGTCACGAAAGCTTTAAATCGAAATTTAACGACAACCATTTTTAAATCTATACAAAAAAATGTATGCTCAATAAATCGATAGTTGGTGGTGATGCTGCTGCTACGTTCTAAGTGGCGCACAATTAATAACAACTCAACACGCTCCTAAAAAAACAACCGTGCGTGGTGTGACTATAAATACATATATCACGTGCAATGGGCGACGTTTCGGGCAATGCACACACACACCATGGCGTCTCGTTCGGCGCTCAACGCACGTGCTACGGAGGAGGAGCGTCGCCCGAAACGTCGCTAAAGTTACGGGCGCCGCCTGCCAAGCCACACGATATGTGGGTTGATTCTCGCAGCCGGAATGAGCCGAATCCAGGACAGAACGACATTTTTTTAAAGACGCTGCAGTCTTCTTGGTCTTTCGGTAAAGTCACGTAGAATGGAAGTAATAAAACAATAAAAATAAAACATAATAAAATAATTCTCACGACGACATTCAGACGCTGTCTCCCCGACAGACCTGGTCTTCACCTGAGGACGGCTGCTTGCATTGTGGCCGAAACGTCGTGAGAATTATTTTAAAATGTTTTATTTTTATTATTTTATTACTTCCCTTCTACGTGACTTTACCGAAAGAACCAAGAAGATGAATCCCTGCAGTCACAAAAGCTTTAAATCGAAATTTGACGCTGCAGTCATTGTTGACCGAGCTAAGAGCAGCCCCGTAGCTTCTTGGAAAGGAGAGGGGGGGGGGGCTGGAGGGCGCTGGAGGGGGGTGAACTCCCCACCCCGCGTTCAGCCCCCTCTTCTACATTCTAATGGTCGAGTCAAAACTCGTGAATTATCCAACAACAAGGCGACGTTTGAAGTTTGTTTGACACTGGCTGTGTCGTGCTCCCCACCATCCCAACTCCACCATCCCCCCCCCCCAACAACAAACGAGGCCACGTTGCTGGGCTGTCTGAGACCTGACACCTGCATTGAAACAAATCATCAGAGCCTCAATGCGAGCAACACCACGTGTCACGGCGCGAGTCTCACGTCGCCTGGCCACCTCGCTAGCGGGGGGGGGGGGGGGGGGGCGACATTCGGATGGACGGATCGTTTCTGGCGGTGGCCTGGAAATCTAGAGTGACTGAGCGGCAGCCGAGGAATGAAATCCGTTCGCGGGGAGATGGAGTGATGAATTCATAAATGAGCTCGAGGGCAGATGCCAGGGTGAAGTGTTACGTCGCAGGATCGTGAGAGATGGCGACGGAGTTTTTTTTTTGTGGGGGGGAAGGCGTTTCATTCAGCAGTGGATTGTCAAAAGGGTTGTACGTGTACCACGTGTCCACGCAGCACACGTACAACATGTACGCGCATTGGAATCAATCGCCTTCTATTGCAAGGGGAGAGCCGGGTTAAATAGATTCCGTTGCGACAGCGTAGGCACCGATGCAACGCAACGCGGAATTACGCATCGTAAAATCAGCAACAAAAAACGTGATCGCTCTCACTCATCAAAGTCACTGTTGATGCAGATGGTGACGGTGATGATGACGGTGGTGGTGATGTCAGTCAACCATCCCATGGCACCTGGGTTTGTCCCGTGACCTCTTGCCAGCGGGTGTTCGACACTTCACACGTGGCCTTGAAGTGCACTTGGCCTGGCACAAGCGCCGTGGAGACGTCACCATCACCTAGTGGCGAATGGCGGTTGTTGTTGTAGTTGTTGGTGGTGGTGATGCACATTTGGAGCACGTGGCGGAGAGTTGGCTGCGGAGAGAAGTCTCGTGTGCAGGCGGAGTTGCTCGACGGGTTTAATGTTGTGATAAATGAAATGTTTCTCTGCAGGGATGCCGGGTTCACTCTCCGTGATGGGGCTGCGAGTAGCCCGGCAGCAATCCATGAGAGCCTCAGAGTCGAGCCGCTGCTCCTCCGGATCTAGAGGAGCCAAGTTAAGGTGGGTTCGGGCACCCGGGAAGGATGCCTGAAGTTAGATCGGCAAAAAATACAATGAAGGATAGTAGAGTAAGAAAGATACACGTCACTAAACGCATAAACAAAATACACATTATGGAAGTACATATTGCTCTTGTACATACATTGCTGCAGATTTGCCAAGAAGAAGTGCACGCTTTGGCAAGGCATCAAAATAAAAACAACAACAACAGTACCGCACCGAGACAGCACGGTCCCTCGATTAGTATCAGGGATGCATTTATCATCGCGAAATATGTTCCAATCCCCCCCACATCACCCCCTCCCCCAGCCCCCCACACCTGACCCCTCCTCCCACCCCACCCCCTTCACCCCCCAGCGAGTGGTGAAATATGTTCCGTAGCTGCACCCCGGACAGCTCCGGCTGATACGAAGCCCCGATTAGTATGGACACGCTGGTGCGTGCGTGTCATCTGAAATCGACCGCGACTGCGGGGCGAGGCGTTGTTCTGGCTCCAGACGATCAGAGGCGTGCCGGCTGGCTGGTGGACTTCGCACCGAGGCGGCAGGACGACAATGGGGCGGCGTCAACCCCCGCCGATCGATAACGGCGTTCGGCATCGCGCGACAGCGGAGATTCCAACGACTCCCCACCACCCACCACACTCCATCGCTCCCACAGCAAGATTCCCCGAGCGGGCTGCTTGGGTGCTCGTGCTGTTTGCGAGCACCTATTGAGCCACACCACGGCGCACGAGCGGCGGTGGTGTGGCCCGAACACCACGCCCAGTCGTCTTTGTCTCCCCGGTGCTGATTTTGTGTGTGTGCGTTTTTTTTTTTACACTGCAGACGGATAGTCAATTAAAGGGCTGCTGATTCGTTCAAAGTGAGGCCCAGGGCTGGATGAGATATTGGTCACTGATGTTGGCCCTGAGAGGGGAATGCAACTCGGATGGTCCGTGGTTTGCAGCACAGTTGCGCTAACCACCGCGCCTCTCATCTCTACCTCCACAACAACCGCTCTGCCCTAGGGTCACGATTCGATTCGAGGATCGATCATTTTTGTTTTGTTCCGCCCGTTTCGTGGAATCCTGCCTTGGTTGTATCGTCTAATATGCGTAGACGTTTCGGGAAATGACCCTTCTGGGCCCTTCTTCGTGCGTGAAAAGTTTCTGCCAATTGTCCTTCTGCATTTCCACAAACGTCTCGCCTATTATATATATTATAAATTGGTTTTCATCTCAGGCCACCCAGTGGTATTGACGAACGCGTTGAGTGGCTGTTGTTGTGTGTGTGGAGTACCTGTGCATCATTGCCGACGCAGCATCTACACAATGTATGTTGAACTTCTTTTGCACCGTAAGTAGCCAGCAGCAGCGGCACCACCGCCAACACAAGCTGCATTCATTTTCAAGCATGGGGGGGGGGGGTGGGTGGTGGGGGGCTGCCTGTGCAATACTCTCTCCCCACCCCCACACACGTGGCCCCACGGTAGCGAGATGTTAACTACCTCGCCTGGTCTACCGCATGATATCGTGGGTTCGATCGCGACTTATTTGGAGTTTGCGTGTCTCTCTCTCCCCGTGGTCGCGTGGATTTTTCTCCGGGTCCTCCGGTTTTCCCTTCCGCATTTAGAAACGTGCATTTAGAGTGTTTGGCTGCTATAAATGTCCACGTGATAAGCCACTTTACTGAGTTATTATATTTGTGGCCCAGGTCGCTTCAGAGAAATAGACGGACAGCTCAGTCGTCCTTATCTGATAGCGTCGAAATAGTTTGTAGTTTTACTCTTCCCATTCACGGTGTGCCTGAGGCGCCACGTGTTCGTGTCTCAAGCTACGGCGTGTACAACAACCTCTGGCGCGTGTCGTGACGGGTGCTGCAAGATCCGACCGTGTCCATCCCGTGCTCGCCGAACTGCATTGGCTTTCGGTTTGCCGAACCAATGCAATAGAGAGGTCGCGATCATTACACAAACAAAGTGCTTGTCACAAATGAACCACATCACCTCGCTTATCTCGTCGAGAGGCATGGACCACCACGTGAACTCCGGTCATCCTCGCAGCGGCTTTTGGCTGACCATCGGACCGACGTGACTTTACCGAAAGAACCGAAGAGTAGTAGCTACATATGTAGTAGCTGCATATGTAGTAGCTACATATGTAGTAGCTACATATGTAGTAGATACATATGTAGTAGCTACATATGTAGTAGCTACATATGTAGTAGCTACATATGTAGTAGCTACATATGTAGTAGCTACATATGTAGTAGCTACATATGTAGTAGCTACATATGTAGTAGCTACATATGTAGTAGCTACATATGTAGTAGCTACATATGTAGCTACGGGACCCACACTTTCAAAGGCCCCGCGCTAAACGCTTTCAAGCTATCAATTCCGGTGCAGTGATTCTGCACTTGCTCTATTACTATAGTACTATACCGCCTTCGACTTTTATGAACGACTGGGTGTTTAAGTTTAGCGATTTGTCGTGTTATCTGGCTTATATTCAAATGAAGAAATACAATTACTTTACTATGCAAGTAAAAACAGCTTATTTTTTAAATATATGTCTTTTTTTATTGAGGGGCCCTTCATAACATATGCTACAGGCCCCGCACTAGCTTCATCCGGCACTGCTCCTGGACCATATTGCCCGACGCAAAACAAGACCACGGAGACCCACAGAGACACATAGAGATGCATGAGAGACGAGCCTCAACAGTGCGACCTGTGGTCATGCATCTCGAACTCTGCGCCAACCCACGGTAAACCACTGCAGTCTGCGCTCTTTCAACGGGAGGGGGGCACAGCAAATCTCACACGAACTCTCTCTCTGTCTCTCTGTCTCACTAGGCCCTCTCGTCGTGATCATCAGCTGCAGACTTGAACGTTGCCTCCGAGCTGCCGAGCCACATTGCTGCTGCCATGGCGCGCGGGAAGGGAATGGAATCGTGAGCGGTACAAATAGGAGGGGGGGTCTGGCAAATAATGTCTCCACTGTGGTTCGCGCGAGATACGAAGCGAGGGGGTGGGAGGTGTGGGTGGGGTGGAGGGCGGGGTGGGTGCGGAGTGGGGGGGCGGGAGAGATGTGGGGAGGGGGGGGGTTAGGGGATGAAGAGTGGGGGGGGGGGCAAGCGGTGGTGGGGGGGGGGTGCGGAGTAGGGGGGGGGGCGAAAGAGATGTGGGGAGGGGGGGTTAGGGGATGAGGAATGGGGGGGGGGGGCAAGCGGTGGTGGGGGGGGGGGGGTGCGGAGTGGGGGGGGGGGGGCGTGAGATATGTGGGGAGGGGGGGTTAGGAGATGAAGAGTGGGGGGGCGGGGTGGGTGCGGAGTGGGGGGTAGATGTGAGGAGGGGGAGTTAGGGGATGAGGAGTGGGGGGGCAAGCGGTGGTGGGGGGGGGGGAGGCGAGGTGGGTGCGGAGTGGGGGGGGGGGAGATGTGGGGAGGGGGGGTTAGGAGATGAAGAGTGGGAGGGGGGGGGGTAAGCGGTGGTGGAGATAGGTGTGGAGTGGGGGGAGGGGGAGAGATATGGGGAGTGGGGGGGGGGATGTGGGGAGAGGGGGGTGTGGATGTGTGGCGGTTAGGAGATGAGGAGTGTGGGGGGGGGCAAGCGGTGGTAGGGGAGAGAGAGAGAAAAAAAGGGGGGGGGGGTCACCCACCCACACCGACGCGCAAGCCTTAACGCTCACGATTAATGAGGACAGTGTTGGCCTGTGGAGAATGAATCGCTCATTAATAACGACCGCTCGGCCTCGCTACGAATGCGCCCCAAAGATAAGGTGGCCAAACGCTGCCGCGGCTGCTGCTGCTGCTGCCGCTGCGGCTGCTGGGCCGGTGGAGGTGCGGGGGTCTCCCGTTTCCCCATCAATGGTCCGAACCCAATGTTACCGCTCCTCCTACCGCATTCTCTCTCTTATTCTTCTTCTGTGGTGGTGGTGGTGCGGGGGGGACGTAGAGAGAGAAGCCCCCGCGTCCAGGATGATTTATATCGGTAATTAAAGGCGCTCGCGACGATTCATAACCCGTCGCGAACGATGTTGCGCAGCATTTGCTGACTGAACGTTGTTAACCTTTTTTGTTGTTGTGTATTCTGTGAAGCGGAGTTTGAAAAAACGTTCTTCTTCGCATTCGTCTGTACACGATTGCCGTGGAGCGCTGTTATGTGCCGTGTGTGGTTGTATGGGGCGAGTGAGGTGGTGTGTGTGTGTGGTGTGTCTGGGTGTGTGTGTGTGTGTGGTGTGTGAGTGGTGTATGGGGCGAGTGAGGTGGTGTGTGTGTGTGTGGTGTGTGAGGCATGGTGTGTGTGTGTAGTGTGTGTGTAGTGTGTGATGCATGGTGTGTGTGTGTGGTGTGTGAGGCATGGCGTGTGTGTGGTGTGTGAGTGGTGTGTGTATGTGGTGTATGGGGCGAGTGAGGTGGTGTGTGTGTGGTGTGTGAGGCATGGTGTGTGTGTGGTGTGTGAGTGGTGTGTGTGGTATGTGAGGCGTGGTGTGTGTGTGTGGGGTGTGAGGCATGGTGTGTGTGTGGTGTGTGAGGTATGGTGTGTGTGGTGTGTGAGGCATGGTGTGTGTGCGGTGTGTGAGTGGTGTGTGTGGTGTGTGGGGCATGGTGTGTGTGTGGTGTGTGAGTGGGGTGTGTGGTGTGTGAGGCATGGTGTGTGTGTGGTGTGTGAGTGGGGTGTGTGGTGTGTGAGGCATGGTGTGTGTGGTGTGTGAGGCATGGTGTGTGTGTGTGGTGTGTGAGGCATGGTGTGTGTGTGGTGTGTGAGTGGTGTGTGTGGTGTGTGGTATGTGAGGCGTGGTGTGTGTGTGTGTGTGGGGTGTGAGGCATGGTGTGTGTGTGTGGTGTGTGAGTGGGGTATGTGGTGTGTGAGGCATGGTGTGTGTGGTGTGTGAGGCATGGTGTGTGTGTGGTGTGTGAGTGGGGTGTGTGTGTGTAAAGCATGGTGTGTGTGTGTGGTGTGTGAGACATGGTGTGTGTGGTTTATGGGATGTGTGTGGTGTGTGAGGTATGGTGTGTGTGTGAGGTGTTGTCTATGGTGTGTGGTGGTGTGTGAGTGAGTGAGGTGTAAGTGGTCTATGGTATGTGGTGGTGTGTGAGTGAGTTGTGTGTGTGTGGTCTATGGTGTGTGCGAGGTATGTGGTGTTGTGTGAGTGAGGTGTGTGGTGGTGTGGTGTTGTGTGAGTGAGGTGTGTGAGTGAGTTGTGTGTGGACTATGGTGTATGCGAGGTGTGTGGTGGTGTATGAGCGAGGTGTGTGAGTGAGGTGTGTGTGTGGTCTATAGTGTGTGAGTGAGGTGTGTGTGTGTGGTCTATGGTGTGGACGAGGTGAGTGGGGCGCGTGAGGCGTGCGACTCGTCTAGACACAGGGGGGCGGGGTGGGATGGGGGGGAGGGCTCGCTGGGTGTTCACAAGTTGCAGCAGTGCCCCCTTTTCTTTGACATAACCACGGGGGGCTCACCGTAGCCCCCCCCCCCCCACCTCGCCATCCTTCTCGCTAGGCCGTCGCTCGGCACACCACCTCATTAGCGATTACGGCATCTCCACAACCTGACCTTTCACAACCGCAGATATTTAAACACGGGGGGGGGGGGGGGAGCGTCAGCCCAGCCCTCCCCCCACCACCTCCTTTGGATAGTTCATTGATCACGGAGTGTGTCGCCTCGTGTCCACGAACGCTCTCCTCCTAGAGACGGGACCAGTTCGGAGCTCCTACGAGAAGGCGCGCAGAGGCCGGGCGAGAAGACACCCAAGACGACACCCAAGACGACACCCAAGACGACCCCCTCGTCGCTTTGAGCGCAGTGGAGAGGGTTGAGGCGTGGGTTTGTGGCAGGGGGTGGGGAACGTTTTTTCTGCCAAGGGCCATTTGGATCTTTACAACATCATTCGCGGGCCATACAAAATTATCAACTTAAAAATTAGCCTGTTATATTTGGTCAAGCATTTAATTAACTCACCCCTAATGCGATGGGCTGCAACTGCTTTTCTTTGGCGAGGCGTGTGATGTTAGCTGGTATTGATGATGTTGCTACTCGCAACTGCTTTTCCAGGTTTGCTCCTAGAGATTTATTGAATTTCGAGTCCCGCCTGCGGTTGCTTTGGCAGGGCCAGAGACCAAATGATTTCGTGGGTCTCATACGGCCCGCGGGCCGGACGTTCCCCACCCCTGGTTTAGGGGTTTTCCCGACCACCTTGTACACGAGCTCGCTCCTAAATCGTCTTAC